AAGCTATGACCACAAACCAAAGAGGTCTTACCCAACTCAACTCAACTCAACTGTATTTATAGAGCACTTTAAAACAACCACCGCTGTATACAAAGTGCTGTACATGGAGCAAATATCATATATACAACAATAAGCAATAAAACAATAAATTAATAACGCAGACAGTAGAAAGCACCGTCACATCGTTTACTGGCATGGCATTTTCAGAGCGTCTCATTGTCGGCCATAAACGCACAGATGTCACACAGAGAAAGGCTTCAGAGTGAGGAGGAGGGATTTTATTTTTTTGTTTATTTGTTTTAAAGATGTCTGACTTTTCACGATTTTGAAGCCTCATTTCATTTTTACCTGGTGATTTTTTTAATCAATCAAATTTGACAGGGTTGTTACCAACACTCTTTGCTCTTCAATGTGAATGTAAAATCAGACAAGATTATATCACCATATATTTTTTGAGATTTTTTTTTTGTTTCGTCGTGTGCCCTGAGATTCTTCTAATGTAAAATAATTGGCTCAAGAGTTGGCAAACGTTTATTTAGCATGCCTCTGCTGCTCTCTAGTGGCAAATACACTCTTTGCATCAAATGACTTCCATTAATCGGCTTGTGAGGTCGCCAACCTGACCCCTTTTTGCCTTAACCTGTGTGCGCTCAATACATTACACCGGCTTAATGGGGATTAAGGTGACCACAACAGAGGAATATGCCTTTCTGTAACACTTCCAGTCTCTTTTTCTCCCTGTGTCATTTTTGTCAACCAATTGTTTGGTGACTGCCTTGTGACACTTTGGTTGTCCTGTCTTTTAACAAAACAAATCAGTCAGGTAGCCGGCGGGTGTGACAGCATCTCTCTCCTTCAACTTGTTTGCTCCGACTGGCCAGCTGATTGCATGCCTTGTGCCATACCGCACATTCCTATCACGTTGCCATTACGGAAGAATTCCGTCAAACTGGATGCAGTGCCTTTGTGATAATATATTAGAGTCGGAGTCAGTCACATACTGTATTTGCAAGTCATAATTGAGTCTCAGGTGTCAAAATCAAGCCAGTCAAGTTGAGTCCCAACCAAATTTGAAGTCCTCTCAAGTCATAAGTCAAGTTTTGCATTTTGTCTCTATTGAAATGAGTAAAAATACCAATAGTCCATTACAGAAAAAAAAATGTTGTGATGCGTTTATTTAGATGTCTCAACTCTCCTAAAAAAAATCGTTCTATGCAGAAGATAAATAACATATGACCCGCCATACTGTTATACTTTCTGTTGACATGTGTTGGCGCACAGTTTGTGTTCAGTACGTTGCTTAAAGGGTTACAGCAACGGAGCACAGGTGGTAGTTAGCGTTAGACTGAAAGGCTAAGCTATGTGGTTGCTTTCATAGTAAACAAGGTGAGATTCGTTTTGTCAGCAAATTTCAGCTGGGAGTCGCAAACGGGTTAAAGCCTCTTTTTTGAAGAATGCTTACTATCTCCAGTATGTGACATACACTTGCTTGTTGTGAAGTGAGCTCAATTCATAACTGCGAGCTGAGATCACCCCACAACGAAAGATGTACTTTTCTGGCATAACAAAGTAACAGGTTAGTGTGGGGCCAGACTTTGAAAATTAGCACCTTAAGTCTGTCTCAGGTCAAGTCATGACTGTTTCTGAGGTTGGAGCGATGGCACAAAGGCCCCACTCATAGTGCACAAGCCGCTCACCTTTAACCCACATACAGCAGACCGCTTTGCCGCGCAATCAGTTGAAGAACTTTGCAAAAAGGCTCTAATTTGAATTTTCACGGCAACGCCGCAGGCGTGAATTCATCGACGCGACTCTGCTTCGCTGGTTTCATCACAGAGATCGCAAAGTTTTGCATCGAGATAACATGCGTGCCTGGAATGTCCTGATAACGCATACTCTGTGCACCATGTGACGCAATCACTCACCCCCGCTTTGACCGACTGTGACATAATTAAAAGCAGTAAAGTTTGACTGAGCGGCCCACTTGGACATGGGAATCACAAGACGAGGAGACTTTCAACTTTATCAGACACCCTGTGAAAAAAAATCCCCCTTGGGGACCTGCGAAATAAAACAACGAAGCCTTTGTCAGTACTGTATTAACATCTCATCAAGGGGAAGTGTTATGTGGATGTTCAATGCTAAGCAGCAATGATCAGTGACTGCTTTGTTCAATAAAAAAGCCACTGGGGAGATTGAATCATAATTGATTGACTTTTTAATGCAGAGTCATTGTATGTTCTATTGCAGCGTTTCCTGGAGAAACTTAGTCCAAAGTCCAGTCATTTGCTGCCCGTTGCACAAATAAATTAAAAACATGGCCGTAGCTGTAGGTGAAGAGAAAAAGTTAGGTCGATTTTTTTTGGAACAAAGGCAGACAATATATCACACAAAAGGAATACTGAAAAATTGTCACAATTGCGTCATTGAAAATGCGAAAAAAAAAAAAGAGCAGACATTTTTCAAACATTGCACGTTTATGTTTTGCTTTGCCGGCCGGTGAATACCACCGACTGAGCCCCGTCTGAAAAACTCCTCCGAGAGGATTACTGAGCACCCTTGAACTGTGCCATCTGCTCCAAGTAGACCATTTTAACGAACACATGTTTTGAAAGTGAACGTCCCTCCACATGCTGCGCTACATAACAAAAAAAAAAAAAAAATCATTGTGATCCATTGGACTTGAGTGATTTTGTTTTGCCGATATTGACAAAGCCCACGTGCCCTCATCATCACACATCTGTGTGCGCTGCTACTGATCAATGAAGTGTTTGACCTTTGGCTCCAGGGCTTCCGATGCAGATGCAAATCAGACGCACGAGTCAATACGTACTCTAGTTACCCTGGTAACTAGCCACAAGAGATCGTGGCTTGGTGATCATTTTTCTCAGCTATGACAATTGAAACATGACATTCATGTAGCCTTGACTCATTGTGTCCCAAAAGGTCACGTGAAGTGTGCCACTCGACAGGCCAAGTGGTCACCCCCCTGCAAAAAAAAATAACCTGAACCGCCAGATGGCTCTGTGGAAGTTACAACACTTGCCAGAAACAAAAGTGCTTAAGAAAGCTACAATCGTGCCAGAGCTATTGTATCAAAAATCAGAAATAAGGATGAAAATAAGACACTTTTAAGTAAAGCTGTAGGAAGCCAGTTTTCAAACAAAAATTATTTCCCACAAATTATATTGTTTTTTGTAGTGCTTTAAACAAAATAACCGTTCACACGTCACATAAATTCCCTTTTGTGATGGTAGTTATGCTTAACTGGAGTTGGGATTTTGAGTGAGTCCTTTAAATTTATTTTCCCTGAACACATACAAAAAACACTGCTGTAGGGATGCAGCAAAATTCATTTCTTTTTGAAAGCTTTATTTATCCAGGTAAGGACACTGGGAACAGATTCTCATTTGTAATGCCGACCTGGCTGTAGATGGCAGAGTAAAACATGGTTAATTGACTATAGACCAAATGGAAAAAATATTATTAAAAAAATAATAACAATTATTACTGTAATTACAATTTAATTATTATTATTATCATTATTATTATTATTATTAATAACAATAATAATAATTGGGCGGCGTTTAGCGTACTACTTGTGTTTCTGATGCAATACCCTGGCGGAAGGAGCCCTTGTCTGGTAATAGGACGGCAGAGGTTTGCCTCGTTGCCTAGATACCAACTCAGGAGGTGGCGCATGAAGCGCAGTCCACCGACTGAAACTGGCTTCCTGTGTCAGCCATTGTGGCTCTGGCGCGAGCTGGCATTCAACGGGCTACGCTTCCGTTCGCTTGAGCCCGAATGTCGCCATTTTCCTCGTCCCCGCTCAAGTGGCACTGGACGTGAAAACAGCGCCATTTCTGTCGGCGTCCATGATACGCTATGCTACCGCAGCGGATTCCAGAGCCCGAGCTCGGAACGGCAGCAAGTGACAAGTAGCCGCTCCCCTTTCGGTGTTGCTCTCCTCTTCAGCCCGCTCGCAGGTACGTCGAGCGGCCTGGCGTTCGTGTGTTGTCGTGCCTTTTATTCTCCGCGCGTTCCTCGCTTTTAACTGTGTGACGACATGGCGCACATTTTTGAAGAGAGCAACTGTCAAGTCCTCAACGGTTAGCCTTCCACAAGCAGTAGCGGCAGCAGCAGCTCCTCCTCCTCCCCGCAACAACGAGCCTACTTCGAAGCGGGCGTTGGGATCCGATCGCTCACTTTTTGACCTCTCCCAACATTTCGGATGCCATGCTGCCCACTTCCAAGTAAACGACTTGGCCTAATGTCAGAGGGTCGCCGCTTGCTAGCTTGACGGTTGCGCCCTGGAGCTCGAATGTCACCGCGCACGGAACAAGTCATTCGCCGGACAGACGGCAAAGTGAAAGCAAAAATAGCGCGTCAACACACGCGAAAGTAGCCGCATAGTTTTCGGGAGTGACGTTGGTGTTGCAGATATGACTTGCCCGATTGAACGAGGCGAGCTAGCTTGATGTGCAACGTGATTAGCTGCTGAGCTAACATTAAAGGTCGGTGGTCCAGCTAACCTTGTTTGACTGCGAACGAGCGCGGACACGTTTTAAGATGTCGTTTTGTGCAATAACCGGGCGAAACTTTACCCAGAAGAACACCCACGGCGTTTGGGGGACTGTGGCTGTCAGTCGAACAAAGTTGAAGTACACTGCGAACAAAATACAGTCTTAAAATATGAGTCACAATTTCCCCAAAACAAAAACAAAAATGCTTGTAGGTCACGTGTTTCACAGAGTTGTATACCTAGTTAAATCCTGTTACGCAGCTGGAGAATTTTAAAATTACACGCAAATCCTGTGGAATTCATCGAATTGTTGAAATTAGAATGGTTGAAGGAGATAAAGCATGTGAAGTATGACTTTATCTCGAGATTTTTGCGTGAAATTTTGACAACCCCACCCCTCCAACAGTTCCCGAAAGAGGTGACTATTTTGAAGTTGGAGTGGTTTCAATTGGTCAAGAAATGAGAAAGGTGGAGGGAAATAGATCAAATATTGCATGAATTTGTAAACTTGACTGTGGAATTTCGGGGATGTGGACAATGGTTACCAACATGATACAAATGAGCTGAACAGTTTGAATTCGGAGTGGGGGATGGTCAATTTTTCAATTAATGTCTCTTTGACTTAAATGTAGAATCATGGGAAAAGTGGGAAACTTTGGAAGATGGACATTCGTAGAGCTCCTCAGCATTTACACAGTTATTGATTAGGCCAGCCAGCGAAGGTAACTTATCTGGACCTCATGCAAGTGTGTCGGGCTGCAGCACACAGTTAAGCTTCTTAGCTTTGTCCTTTTGATGTCTCATAATAGGTAACCCGTCCCGTAATGGGCCTTCCTTGACTGACGGCCACATGGGCAAATCACAACAGCGCAATGTCCATTTTCTTACGTACCAGATGTAAGCCTCCAAAACACATGTTGTTGACAGCAAGTGTTGACAGCAAGTGTTTTCCTGCCACTTGGCTTCAAAGGAAGCATCACAATCTCATCTTTTGACTGACGCAGTGTCACTGCTGTCTGTTGGTTATTTGACTTTGAGCGCCATGTGTTGTGTTCCTAAATCGGTTTGAAATGGTGAGATCATCTCGCTGTTTCTACCAAACGGAATATTCAAATTGTACAGAGTGGTTGTTGATGGCAGTCTGCCTCCGGAGTGTCTTGGTATGAATATGTGTTTTGTAATATGTTCATTGCTGAAAACAAGCCAAGAAATGTTCCCATTCTACTGACATGTCTGTCCGCTGTGTTTCAGGTGGTGCTGGCGAAGTGATTGCCACGACATGGGCGCCTCCGTGTGACGCAAACACATTGTTGTGTTTAGCTGCGCAGCTGAGATCCATCAGCGGCACAAGCCATGCCTGACGAATAAAACCACCCTTTTTGCTGAAAGCAACCAAAAAGGGGAAAAATAATCCCACATGCCTCCTCACGTAGAACCCCTTCAGTGCATCCCCCTGGAGTGATTAGCCCACCTTCCAGAAGTTCCGGGTTCTGTCTCGCCCTCCCTCCGCACTCGTCTCCGCCAACCACCCGACAAACAACTCCTCGCGATGCCAGTCCACCTGAGGATAACAAACACCTGAGGTCTCATGCGTCCCGTGAGCACCGATTCAGACGGCCCTGCTCCTCCCGAGACGCTCTCTTGCTCCGACCCGCTCGTGGCCCCCCTGCCCGCTTCAGAGATGTCCCTGCTCCAGTCGCTGGGTCCAGTGCAAAGCTGGCTGGGCCAGGAGCTGGAGAAGTGCGGGATCGATGCCATGATTTACACCCGCTATGTCCTCAGCCTCCTCCTGCATGACAGCTACGACTATGACCTGCAGGACTACCTTCAAGTAAGGTTTTGCAACATGACCTTGTTGCACATCTTGGTCCGCTCTCATTTATTCAACATTTGTTTGACAGGAGAATGACATCTTTTTGGGCTGGGAGAAGGGAACTGGGAAGAAATGGAGCAAGAGTAAGAAGAAGGGAGGCAGCGACCTGAGTCTGGAGGAAATGAAGAAACAAGCGGCGGTGCAATGTCTACGTTCTGCATCTGATGAGGTAAGCGCTGCCCGGGCCGAGCTTCCTATAATTAGAGAATGCCATGCTCTTGAATGTATAGACATAGCTTTTGCTCATGGAACTCTGCCACTGAGGGTCATATGTCAAATGTTTTGAAGTAAGCATGGTAGTGCTTGATGTATGTGAGAAAATCCACAGGAGGCTATGTTGCCTACGCCGACTTCATCATGACTGCGCACAAAGTAAAAGGGGTGCTGTGGGTATATCGTGGGGTTGGGTCTTGGCAACAAGCCCTGGGACGACTGGACTGTGCTGTCTATTTTTTAACTGGCATATGCTACACGGGATTGCAGCAGACATTTGGCTGTCAGCTGACCAGCTTCAGCACAATGAGGTAAAAGCAAACGTAGGCCGAGAGGAAACTGCACCCCTATTTATTTTTGCTGGTTAAAGAAAGGCATAAGTTGTTGCGTCAGAAGAGTTTGACGGAGTTCAACTTTTGCTTTTCTCAAAAGTTCCTGAGATACTTCAGTAAATCTAGTGCAGTCACAGTCAAGCCCCATTTTGCTGCTTTGGCCCTGTGTTTTAAATTCTTGATTTTCGGATGATGGCACAAGTCTCTCAAGTATTAGAGAGAGACTTATAGAGGCCGGCACCCCTAACTACCGCTGGTGTCTTTTGTTTGCATTTTTCAGAACTCTGGAATTGAAAGCCTGGTCGAGGAGCTTTGCTCCAAACTAAGGGACATTCAAAACAAACAGAAAGGTTTGTTTTTTCATGATGCATCTTATTTCGTTAAGTTGAAACTAGCAAATTTTATTTATAAATACATGTATATGTATTGTATTTTTTTCCTACAGAGGAAAAACAGATCCAAAAAAAGTCTGATGGCGCACATTCTCCCGAACGATTTGAGTCCCCCTCTTCAAAGGACCAGGTGGAAATGTAAGTCACGTCACAACTGTTGCGTATTTAAACATTAGCAAGAAAAAAAATGGGATGGTTGTTTGAATGTGTCTCCCTTTTGTCAATTGCGACTCAGGTATTATGAAGCCTTCCCACCTTTGTCAGAGAAGCCTGTTTGTCTCCAAGAGATCATGACCGTGTGGAACAAAGCCAAGGCCTGCGCATACTCGAGTTCATCATCCTCGGCCGCTCCACAGACCAGCACAGACACTTCCTCCCCGAAAGATTGTAACAGCGAATGCGAGGTTGCCAAGGAGCGGAACCCTGAAGCGAGCGCTACCATCACCGGCGCGACAACCGAGAGAGGCCAGCACCGCCGAAGCAAGAAGGAGAAAGAGAACCGATACCATGGCGGCGCGGCGGCAGAGGAGAAGAACACGGCCCACTCCAAGAGACAAGCCAGACACAGGTCCGAGGGCAAATATCGGGCCCGATCCTGGTCTTCTGGCTCGAGCGAGGGGGGGTCCAGCTCAAGCGGGAACCAGGGCGACAAGTCGTTCAGAAGCAAGGCGGTTAGGGTAAGGCACAAATCCAGGGAGGTTGGGAAGAATAAGAGGCAGCGCAATAGCGGACAGCCGAAGCTCCAGCTGAAGGCTGTGGACAAAGAAGAGCAACGAAACACGGGGGGGACGGGCAAACCACCGCAGCTTTACAAGAAGAATCGGAGATCCCTGAAAGAGATTTATAAAGATCCCGTCTGGCCGCAAGCAACCGAGATGAGGTTTGAGGAGAGAAACGCAAAGGAATACATGGAGGAGCCACTTTGGTACACTGAGCCCATCACAGACTATTTTGTACCTTTTAGCAGCAAGCAAAGCAAGCTGGAAACAAAGTATCGAAGCAAAGTCGGCTCCCCGGTAGACTTTGCCTCGGCAGCTGACATGGCCGCGCTGCCGGAAAGAATCCAGGGAATCTGCGTTGCCAATGAGAACTACCCGAGAACGTACCTCGCCGCGGGCTCCTTTGTGGACGGCCACTTTGTGGAAGCGTCCGGCGAAGCAGACGAGGAGACGGCGGAACTCATTGGGACCTCAAGCTGCCCTCGGCCAGAGGATAGTGGACATTTAGATGACAAGCATCTGCCAGAATTCGACGACTTCTATGAAGTTGATATTTATCAATCCATATTGGATACTAGTGCCTCAGACTCGTTACGAGAGAGTCGGATCCTCAGCATGATTCGGCAAAAAAGCAAGGAGCAAAGTTGTTTAGTGTTCGACGGACTCGAGCAGCAAGGGAAAAGTGCAATAAGGGCAGACTTGGAGGAAGCCTCGGGATCTTATGGGTTCCTAATGGAGGATCTCCACAGCATGGCTCAAGTCTGGGGATGTTTCTCGCCGTCGACTTCAGACGATATCGACGGGGAAAGCTTCATGGGCGACTCGCCCGTTCGACTCTCCCCGCTCCTCGATAGTGTTTCCTTCACCCTGCGCAATCTATCCGGAAATGCGGCGGAGCCGCACGTTCCCGAGGTGGCCGGCGAGCCGTCTGGCCCGAACTCGTCCGGCTTCTCCCTTTTTGAGCTGCAGTACGACAGTCCCACTCTTTCTTTTCCCTGCGACTCGCTCTCTGTCACTCACGACAGCAACGCCGACGCTAGTAGCTGTCTCGACCCGCATGCTAACAAACAGTCTCGTTTGCTCATATGGACCAAAAATAGTGCCTTTGATGAAACTGAACACTGCTCCAACCTTTCAACGCGGACGTGCAGTCCATGGTCACACTCGGAAGAGACTCGTTCAGACAACGAGCACGGGCCTATTCCCGCCGAGGACCCCGCCGCTCCGATCGGCACCGAGGAAATTGATTGTATCATCCCTCCGATTTCTGGTACATATCTCGAGGATGAAATCTTGGACTTTTTGCAAGAGGACTCCGGGCGCAAATGTGAGGAGGCGAGTATTTGCACCGCCTCCTGTCAGACTTACACCAAAAAATCCAAATTGGAGTCCCTTTGTGGAATAGCATTGGAAGAGGACGAGAGTAAACCGTACCGTACGAGCGTTTTCTCAGATAACGCGAACCAACAAAGGGGCGAGTACAGCTCAGGAATAATCAAAGACATTTGGTCCGCGGTCGGCGAGGCCAAGTTGGCGGCGTCAAGGCAAGGTGGGGAGAAAATGAGCGAGAAGGTGTTTTCCGAAGACTCGGGCGGTTACTGCGGCAGCTGCCTGGAGGTGCCGGCCAAGGGCGGTCCGGTTGAGGCGCCTCAGAAAAAAGCAGTGCAGCGCTCCGAGTATCACCTCTGGGAGGGCAAGAACGAAGAACAGGACTTAGCCAAAAACAAAGCCTCTAAGTTAGATGGCGCCGGGGACTACACGACTCCGTCCAAGCCCTGGGACTTGAGATCAGATAAAGATAGCACATCTTTCATCATCGGCGGCGTGTACGGAGAGTTCACGACGTTAAGTTGCGATAAGAATTGGGCCGTCGTGCCGCCGAACGAATCTCAGCACAGCTTGCTGCCGTCTACCGCCGCGTCTCGTTCGAGTTCGGAAATGCTCACCATCGCGGGCGCAGACGTGTTGGTGAACAAGGGCGGCTGCTTCGCTCCGGGACACCGGCGCCTGTGGAGGCCGCTGGTGTCCTTCGGCCAAAGCGAGCACGCCATCGCGGGGAGCCGAGACGGATTCAACAAGGGATTTTCTTTCATCTTCCGGGAAGATTTGCTGGGATCTTACGACGGCTTGCGTGGCCAAGAGCAGCGTTTAGAATACCCGTTTGGATCCTTGGACCTGAACAATCCCTTCTCTCAAGTTCTCCACGTGGAGTGTTCCTTTGAGCCCGAGGACATGGCCTCCTTCAGTCCGGGGTTCAAGCCGAAATCGATACTTTGCTCCGACTCGGAGAGCGAGGCCTTCTGCCCGCGAATTTATGGCATCAATCAAACGCAGTACAGGGCCATTCGCATTTCCCCCAGGACTCATTTCCGGCCGATATCGGCCTCCGAGTTGTCTCCCGGCGGGGTGAGCGATTCGGAGGCCGAGACTGACAAAGAGGAGGCGAATTTCCCCGTCCTGGCGCCGGTGGATGTCTTCGACGATCCTCAGGCGGATCTCAAACCACTCGAGGACGACGCGGAATGCGAGGGCCCGTACTACGGGAAGTCCGAACTGGAATCTGGCAAATTCCTGCCCAGGTTGAAGAAGTCTGGCATGGAGAAGAGTGCCCAGACCTCTCTGGATTCGCAGGAAGGCCCCGGGGTCCTTCTGCCCATCGCTGAGCAAGAAAGATTTTTGGACGACGTGTCGACTGCAGGCGGGCGGACGAGCTCCTCGGTCGCTCCGTCGCGAAAAGAGCAATCTCCGGTGGAAAAAGCGAGCTACTTGCGTGTGGCGGCGGGTCAAATCCCCAAATACGGCATCGCGTACGACTTTGTCAGAGACGTGCCGCAGGTGAGTCGTTTTTTTCCAGCCGCGCCGAAACACGCGATGGCGAGCAATTGGTCTGACGTAACGCTCTTGTCCAATATCTGTCTAGTTCCCTCTGTTAAATAGAAGTGCACAGGGAGTAAGTGGCAATCAGGACGATGAGTGCTGGTGGCAAAATGCACTCGGCCCGCCCTTGTTCCCCGGATCTCAGTGTACAGGTAAGCCTCATGAAGAATGCTCCACAGCGGGGCCTGGAGATGCAAGCCAGCGGCACTGTGGTGAAAAATGTTTTTTGATGTGAAGGCGACCTTTGAAAAGTTCCTGCTTTTCCCTCTAGGCAGCAGCAACATTTGAGTTCTTCATTTCGCTGTGGACTTGCGTTGGCACGAGGAACAGTTGCCGAGTTTTGGCGACTGGACCGCCACCAGCTTTTATTCAGGTTCATCTCAGAGCCGCAAAACCTAACCGGGGCTAATCTCTCGCTTTCCACTGCTTCCCCAACACACATAACTGCTGTTTGTTTGTTTGTTTGTTTTTTTTTTCATTTACTAACTCGATGCTTGTGTAATCAATAATCAGATCGACACAAAAAAAACTTAATAAGTTGGAAAAAAATAAAAGTCGTGTGATTGAGTGATGCCATGTGCAGAGATATCCGTTGAAAGCATTTTAGAGCGCGTTGCAGTTGATGCAGCTACGAGATCACCACTTTTTTTTTTTCAGTTGTGCTCCTGGCACCATCCTACTTCCCAGCGACAATACTGGATAGTTAGTGGCGTCTGAATGGTCGTGCGTGTGCGTTTGTCTGGCCAGTCTCACTCCTTTTTTTTTTTCTCCCTTAGTAAACAAAATAAACCAAACAAAAACTAATTGCTGCATAAAACAACTGCAATCCCGTGCGCTGCTCTTCATCCTCCGTCGAGAAAGACCAGATGTGATTTTTGAGTTCAGTTTTCTCTAGTTTGTTGGGATACAATTATGAAAGAAGTAGAGAATGCGTGCAGTTTTTTTTTTTTAAAGATGACTTGCCCCACTGTAGGGAAAAAGCTGAGTTTTTGAAACCTTAGTTGTAGAGTAAAGTGTGGTTTGTGAACAAAAACAAACAACGAAAAGAGAAAAAACAAGAACACAGTATCACATACCAGTCTTTTGAACTGAAATAATTTGGTAGGAGGAAAAAAAAAGACCCACAAAAAGTTTTCTGCACCCTTTTGCAGTTGAATTTTTTTTAAACCTTTTGTTACTTCTATTGTACACAACACTGGTGCTAAAAATATTTTCCATAATGTGGCTGTGGTAATAGATGGAATAGCATTTTTTTTCTTTGTCATCCAGATTAGTCCCAAATCCATCATCCTTTTCCTTTTTTCCCCCTCCCAAAATTGTAAAAAGGAGAAAAATTGTTTTTCCTGATTTACTGTTTAATGTGGTTTTCTTTGATGTCACCTTTTGAGTTGCGCAAATGCATTTCCTTTCAGTTCGGCCTCCTGAAACAAAACCTACAAATGACTGCTTGGAGTTCATGATTGTGTTGCAACTCGGTTGTCAATAGCAAAACATGAATAAGGTTAAACAAAACAAAAAAAAATGCCATAATTACACTACAAGGTACGGTTGGATTTTTTTTTTAATGTATGTTGTGTTTTTCTTTTCAATTTGATTTGATTCACCATATATCTTGTTTAACTATGGAGTCATATTCCGATGCGCGCGAATAACATTTGTCACAATTAGCGTGATTCAACTTGAATGGTGAATGTGTACGCATGCATACGTTCTTTAAAATCAAAACAAAAAAAGCAAATACATTTTAAAAAAAAAACAAGAAAAAAAACATTGAAACAAATTGGATTCAAAGGTTCAAGTGTATGTTATTGAGCCATTCTGCGACTTGTGTGTTGCTGGTTGAAATTATAGTGAAAAAAAATATCTGCAGGGTAAAAGATTTGCCTGTGTTGCATTTAGTAAGGCCACATGTCTTTCCCAGTTGATCTTAGATTTTGTTCTGGTTGAAGGGAACTTGGCAAGGCTTATTTTTTTTTCGATCCTTACCATGATTCTCAAGCACAAACTTCCCATCAGTGCGTCATTGCTTGGAAATGAATGCGTCAATATAGTGGTTCATATGCGTGGCAGGTAGAAAGAAGGCCGTGCGTTTTGAAATGGCTTTCGGATGTGGGACCCTACTCCAGCTTCAGGGTCTCGGCCATCTTGTCTTTCACATTCATCAGACACTCAGGAATTTTTTCATATATTTTCATCAACATGATCTACAATCAGCTGTGGAAGTGCATTGACCAAACATTGATTGTAGACTACACATTGACATTATTTCCAAGCAAGCCACAGAGATGACTGGTTTTATTTAGAGCTATATAGTTTAAGGAGAGGAGGGAGATAGAAGGGAAAAAAAAAAGCCATCGTAGACTGCATAAGCAATGCGGGGGGCTTCTCAAGAGCCCCCAAGGTTTCTATGCAATGCCTTGGCACTTGTAAACCTTCAAGAGTATGTGGAGAAAAATCAATCATGTAAAATGTTGCATGTTTGTTTTTCACAGGACGCCTGCATTAAAAAAAAGGTCTCTGAAAATGCAGCATGCAAACATCAGTCCACCTTTTTGGGATGAACCAAAATGTTTAAGAGTGAGGTGATTGATCGGTTTGATGGTATTTTTGGCCCAATCCGAGACGATTTTCACGTTTCGAGTTGAGCGTCGTGGTTGAGGTTGGGAGGCGACGGAACATGTCAGTTAGTGTTCTCCTTAAAGAGAGACAAAAAATGTTGGCGGGAGTTTGTCATCTAAAACGGTGACTCATAAAGCGCTTAGTTGAAAGGAACGCGTCACACCTTTCTCCATAAAATTCTTTTTCCGAAAGGAATGCGTCACACCTTTGTGAAATTCTTCCTTTTTCCTATGCTGCATTTGAACGAAAAAGAAACTGCAACAAAACGTGATGAAGAAAATGCAGTCAGTGAGGGGCTATGTTGTTGTTTTTGGAACGACACCACCAGCGAGCGACTCGTTGAGTTGGGATCGTGCCGTGGTTCAACGAACATAATCCCGCACTGAAAACTTTTCAAGTCATTTCATTCCTTCCTCTTGGTTGTCCCCATCTCCCTCAAAGTAGCCGTGTGTGTTCTGATTTCATGTACACCCTGAGTAAATGATTTTGTTTCATTGTGGATTTCATTAACATCTAATAAAAGGGTCGACCAAGCATCAGAATGCCAGTTTGCCTCTTTTTTTAAATATACCAATAGTATATATTGATGTCAAGTTGTACGTTTTGGTTCTTTGTCGGCCAGTTGAAACCAATGGATTAAATGACTTTAATTTCATACTTTACTCTTGAAAATGGTACTTTTCCTTCTGATTACATGTATCAGTTTTTGGACAAAAGCGTACAGAATTGTAATTGCAAATGAAGGACGCAATATTGACTCCCAAGAAGTGCGGGTACCCTCTGCTGACCGTGAAGAAGAACTACATTTTAATTTAGAAAACGGAAGCTCGCTCTGCTGACGGTAGAAAAACCGAATTACGAACAAAACGAGGAGGGGAAAGATGCTACGGAGAGTGAATTTTTTTAGGTTGGTTTAACATCTACACCGTGTGCGAAGAAAGGGGAATTTGAAGAGTTAGGAATAAAAACTGAGGTTAACAATTTCTTATTAAAAGCTATTTTCTGGCCAGTCGTGAAATAGAATAAGGCACGAGTCCTAATAAAAACAAATTGAAATCTCAGAGTCATAATTGAGTCTCGTAGTTTGGGAGGTCGATTGATTATGTCTTGTGTCGTGGACAGGTGACTTCATCCGACGTCAACACTCAGGGCTCGATTACTCTCTGTCGCAAGTTTGTTTTAAAATGGCGGCGGAAACAGGCAGACAGGTACAAGATGCCAACTCAAGCGACTAAACTTCTTCATTTCCCTTGCTCACCGAACCGCGGTCGTAATACCCATTCGAGAGCGTCCGCCCTCGCTTCGGTTCCAGTGAGGAAACGCAGAAAGACAAGTGGGCTCAGGGTGCGAGCGAGTCTCGTTCCGAGTGCTTTTTTTTCTTTTCTTTTTTTCCCCTCTCACGTCGCTAGATGACCTCGGGGCGGTCATGTTTTTTTTCCACGCCGAGCTGCATTGAAGAGAAGCCGGGGAGGTGATAGTGGTTGCCGCATCACCATGGAGCGCTCCGACTCGCAGACGGCGGCCGGCCACCTGTAGCTCCGAGCGGCCCCCATGGCGAACCTGACCCCCTGTGACCGGGGCCGGACGGAGAGCCGCGGTGGTAGGTTGTTTTGCCACACTAAACTCACACACTTGTCACCCTTTGACACTCTTGTTTACACAGACAACATTGCAGCCCATTTTCTAATACAGGTAGACATTAATTAACTATCAATAGCCTGCATGGATTAAGATTAAAGCAATGCACGTGATGTAAAAGCTTCTTTAATCCGTATTTTATGTAACCCAATGGTAATGAAAGAACGGGACACAAAGTGAAAGACAAAATGAACACATTCTCAAGGAGCTGCTTTTGGGTACTTACTCAGCCAACCAAACTCCAGCTCTTGACTTCCTGACATATGACCAACTCGTGAATACTGCAGTACTAGTAATTAGACTCTGTAAAACCAGTTTATTCTCTTGCATCGTGTACGGTTTTATTTTCATACAACACAGTACTAATTTTCTTTATTAAAAAGAAAGCATATAACCTGACATTTCACTTAATTTGAACAGGGAACTTTGTGAAATTACAAGTTTGATCACTGAATGGATTAAAATATTTAGTCAAGGTATTAATAGCTCCCAATACGTGAATGTTAAATCATTTGCCATGGTAACGAATCGAGCTACTGCGACTCAGTAAAGTGCTGTCATATTATGTGCGTTTTGCAGAGGATAAAGACGCCCGTGAGCGTTGTGATATTTGTCTACGCGTTTGTCCGCCTTGAGTGTTCAAATATGGTTGTGTCAAGGGTTATAACACTGTCTGATGCTAAATTACAGATATGAGACTGTGTTATTCGAACTTTCAATGGAAATGCCTATTTCACAGGTGTGTTTCGAGGAGCTATTGTGGAGAACGGTTGTGAAGTAAAAGGCTCCTCTCTCTCCAGTCATCACAACCTCTCCAAGCAGCATGTCTCAGATCCGGGCCTGGTCCTCCAAGGTCAATCCACACCATGTGCCCCCCCAACCTCCATTCTGCACGGCAACTTACAGAAGCTCAGTCTCGACCTGGACAGTCACAGTCTGACTTCCCAGGACTCTGGTATCCCAACTTTGGAGCTCAACCCTCCAGATGTCACCGGGGGAGACTCTCCCGCTACTTTGACATTAGATGACGACTCCTCCGACAGCAACGGCGTGCCCAAGTCTTCCAGCTTCCCGCGCAGCGGCTTCGACGCCACCCGGTTCTTCAGCCCAGGCCTCAGATTGCCCGGAGCTGCCGCAGGCCATCGAACCTTGAACCGCAGCGACGACGTCTCGGTGTGCAGCGTGTCCAGCATGAGCACGGAGCTCTCGGTGTCCAACGAAGACATCTTACATTTCACTGTCACCTCCGACTCGAGCGCCATCGTCACCCTGGAGACGGATGACAGCTGCACTGCTCCCTTCTCCGACGTTGCGCTTGCTTCGTTGCCGGGATGCTCCAAGGACTTCAGGGGTCCGGTGCAAACAAGCCCACCTGGAGTCATGAGACAGGAAGAGGATGGCAGGCAAAAGAAACTGGGATCTCTCGCCAGCTTGTTCAACGGGTAAGTCTCTTTTACTAGACTTGTAAATCGAGGCTGTCGTAAATCCTCATTTCTCGAGGGAAATATGTTCCACATGCACCCTCAAGAGGTGATAGAGAGACCTGGTCACACCTTTATTAAACAGGATTTTGCAGTTTGTGAATCATGGTGAATTAAATTGCGACTCCTTCTGGGGTGTGTGACTTTGCTACCGAGAGGCAGTATCATGCAGTCATGAAGACACGAACAGACAACATTGACAGCTACTGTAAGTCAGTAAACATCAGTGCTATGACTCGTTTTTTGCAGAGGATCAGGAATGGAATTGAATTTAACTTATTGTCATTGCACATGTCGCAAGTGCAGAGCAATGAAATTTTACAGTTTCAACCCATCCAAGATCCCTAAAACGGGGGAGACAGGAAGGGGAATCTGACGGCCTACCAAATGGCACCCCAAACTCATAGATAAAAAGTGGAAAACACATGGGATGAGAAAGTGTTGTGGGGGGAGGGGGGACTTCCAAACTATGCTATCGTGGGGTCTGGGAAAAAAAAAAAACACCTCAGGATTAACAAAACAAGTACTGATGGGTAGATGATACCTCAAGGAGTGTATTGAAAAACTGTGTTGACGCTGTATTGATACTGTGTTGGTCAGTCAATAGTGACCTCTGCTGTACATCTAAAATCATTGCAAGTCAACTAAATGTAAAAAAATAAAATAAAAATTTACATGCTGTATACTCAAAAGTAGCCTGTGAAATAATATTTAAACTTTATTCAATTGCTAGTTATTTACTTAAAATATGATTTCATCATTGTCGAATTTCCTTTGCTGATTTTGTTTGTGAGAAGGGTTCAAAATTTGTATAAATACTCAAATGAGTTGGCATGCAAAATATAGCAAATATTTCCGGAATAACATTTAGAGGTAAAGCATTTTCCTTACAGTATGTATGGGATTTTGTGTCTCAAAGTGTTCAATCATCTGAAAGAAAAACAACAAAAATTGATTCGTTCATTCATTCATTCATACATTTTCATTGAGCAACAAACATTTTGTAAGTGTCTTTGCTACAAGGCGATTTCTCCCCTTGGACACGAGTTCCCCTGCCTTAGAAAACACTCGTTCACAGGGAACAGATGAAGATGGCATATATAAATATTTAATTACCAGATGATAAAGGTGTGGCACTGGCACAGGTACAAGCATCATCTCCATCTAATTTAAGAGAACAGATATTTGATTAAAAACTAACGGTAAACAATGCCCAAAGGAGGAAAAGAGTGACCTTATTGGACGCCAGAAGATATTATATTTCCAGACTGGTGAACATTTTCTCCAATGATCCATGTAGAAGCAAAGAAAAACTCCAAGCACAGGCACAGGTACATTGGCGGGTCTCCTCTCCATCCAACAAACCCACAACGTGTCCATACGGTTTCTTTCCTTATCAGCACAATTTGGCGCGGTACATCCCAACGACACTCTTCCTGTATTGGTCACATGATTTTAATTTTTTAAATGTTTTATTTTTTTGTCCAAACACCCATCGCTTAAAGGTAGACAACAAAGCATGTCGCGAAGGAATGTGACGAAAAGTGCCGGTTTCACGTGCACTTAAATCACCAAATGAAGTCAGCAAGCCCTGTTCATGCATTTTAATCTCGACGCACCGGCTTAATCGCCACAAATCCTTTCACACTTACTGGTTCTGGTTGGCAGCATGGCTTCTTGCTTTCGTCCTTGTTGAGATGGCGGAGCCACTCAGCGGCTCCTGGTGCCAACGCGCTCCCATGCAGCGGCATCGTGTCGTTATCAGTCATTCACGTCGTGAAGTTACACATTCCCCTCGCTGCCCTTCAGACTTCTCCACCCGCCCGCCGCAAAGGGTGGAGCAGCGAGGAGTGAAATGTTCCTTCGTGATATTGATCACTCCCCGGGCCAAAACTCCGGCATGTGCACCTCTGGCTCCGGACTCGGGCATTACCCGACGTCCTCGCGCTCAACTTTGGTGGACACGACTTTGAGCCTTTTAGGTTGTGTCAGAGCAGGATGACGGCCCCTTCGCTTCTTTTGTACATTGACAGGTAGGAGGAGGTTTGTGGATATTTCAATCATGGTTTTTGTTTGGCTCAGACTCTTGATTTAATCGCAGGTCAATTAAGTGTGTGTGTGTGTGGGGGGAGGGGTGCCATTGGGTTTTCAAACACTCGTCTATTATTTACTGTAGCAGCCACTAGCAGCGCTTTGAAGTTTCGACGTACCTTTTTGCCTTCTCTCGTCACAGCTTGTCGTCGACGTGCTCGTGCGACAGCGCGAGACGGCGACAGCGCTGGACTCGCCGACTGTTCCACTCGAAGCGCTCCGCCCATGAATCCGAACGCGCAAAATAATAGCTCTGTCAACATTTGTTCTGTACGCGAAAGCGGAATATGTCACAGAGAGCAAACACTGTCGTTTGCATTGAATGAAAAGTGCCTGGTACGCTTTGCCGCTCCCGGTGAGTCCAAAGACGGACATTGATCACTTCAAAGACTTCAGTGTTTTAAAAGAGTCATTTTCATCTCTTCACTGCATCATGCCCTACTGTTTTTTTGTTTTTTTTTTAAACCTTTGTCAAAGAGCGCATGATGTAACGTGATCTCATCATCATCTTCACTCAAATCTGCATGCTTGAGAAGAACAGCTGCCGATGGGCCCAAACGTCCCCTTCTTGATCTGTCCAAATAACAATTCAAGGCTCGACAATGAATAGGCTTCCTGTGAAAACGAATGAAGCCTCTAGCATGTAATTGTCCATTTTTTTGGGGGGGGGGTTATTTTTGCTCTGTAAAAGTCAGTCTTGATTGGATAAACAAGCATGAGGTCAGTGAATGAACACCATAGCGTTGTTTTTTTGTTTTTGTTTCGTTTGTTTTTTTGTTTTTTTTAATCGCTCTACTTGGACTTTGCTTTTTGCACCCACTTCCCGTTCACACTTTTAGTGGAAGACCTCACTTGTGTGATGCCTACATGAAAGCAAAAACAGGCAAATGGACGCACTCAAGCTGACTGTTTTTATTATTATGGAGTTTGGGTGCGGTATCTCGCATGACGTCAGGTTTTCTGAACCGAGAAGTTTGCATTGTGTGTTATTTTCAGGAGCCTCTTTGCCAGGAAAGTGAAGGACAGTCGCTCGGTGGAGCACCGGGATGCTGGATGGAAGCTGTTTGGGAAGGTGCCCCCACGCGAGGGGCCCGTGAAGGACCCGAGAAGAATACAGAAGGTAATGAACGTTTGCTTCCGTCGGACCCCAATTGCTGATGAAAGCATCGCTTATCATTGTCCAGCGCGCTGTCGTGATAAATGCCAAGGACTATTTACGACTCCTCGCTTGAGATAAAATAATTATGCAAGGACTTTGTCAGCTGGGGCATCGTAAGGTTGCATAAGGTTTGTAAATAGCACAATTTTAAAAACACAACAGTGTCGTTTTCTCGAACCCTTTCATGCACCATGTAACCTAAAAGCATGTCAAGCTGTCCACTGTAGTAACCGCAGTCCCTGAAAGGGTTAAAGGTCTCCGCCACCACTAGATGTACTTTTTAAATACGCTTTTCCACACTTTGAATATCAAAGTGTCTGCGTCGAAAAAATTCGTCAGCGTCAGCATGTCCTTCCGACTTGCTGTTGTCGCACCGCTCTGAACATTTTCAGAGTTCCATCCGGGCAGCAAAAGGCTCACAGCCAGGATCCACACGTGTGCTTCACAACCTGATCCGTGGCTGTAACCTCATATCCGAGCTGCGGAATCGGTTAAGGAGGGGAGGGGGGGTGGAAGCTCCAATGTCAAGTCTTTTGTTTTGCTGCTGCTTCCAAGACGGGCTTGGAAAAACCTTTTGTGGCGCTTTGCACTCGGCACAACCTTTTCCTCTTGAAGAAAGCAACAATGCTGTTTTAATTTTTCAACAATCCAAATCCATCTGAAGTGGAGTGATATCGTCATTGGGAATGATGATCTGTTTCTTTGGGATTGATTAGAAAGACTGTCAGGGCACCGCAGAACCCAGAGCCTTGCAGTTCCGTGGCTCAAGTACACACACACACATACGCACGCATACGCACGCACGCACACGGCGGTCCGCTCCAGAGCTTATGCGGAGCAGCTGGCGCGAGCATCCCTCTTCAGACAGCCGGGAGGGAAGGGAGCCGCCGCGCAAATGGGTGCCGCCGTGCGGCCGCGTGTTTTCCAACGCCGAGTGTGTCCCTCGACCACCCCGCCGCCGCCGCGCTCCTCGTCCGCCGGCCCTCGTGGGCACCGTCGCCAGTAGCGAGCCCCCTCGGGAGCAGCCATGACGTTCGGCTAAGGTTCGGCGGAGACGCGAACTCCCAGATCAGCCCTCCCCCGACCCCCGGAGGATCATCGTCGCGCGCGAAACGGCTGTGTTCATGGTGAGTTAGCAATGTGATACCGAGCGCGAGCCGGCGGCCTCCTTCGCTTGTTCGGCAGGCGGAAGGATGCCTCTTGATTTCACACAATAGCCCCCTTTGAGTTCCTGGAAGGCGCTTTGTGTTGCTCGTAGCAGGGAGCAGGTGGATGACTCAGACGTCAGCAAAAATAAAAAGCGCAGGAAGTCTCGTTTCGGCTAAAAAGAAACCAATAGGCGCCATTGAGGAATGATCTCAATTTCTTAAAAAAAAAAAAAATTCATGCAATGAGGGCTTGCCTTTGTTTTTGTTTTCAAATCGCTTTTCACGTGTTGGCGTCAAAGCGCACGCGGCTCGTTTTACAACGCATTTACTATTTGGCTGTAGCCCCACAGTAAGTGCTTCACAAGATTTTTATGGCTGCTTTTAAATCCCTCTTCAAGTTTGTTATTTATATTTTTATGGTACCCCTCAAAGATTTGTGCTCTGTCGTTTGCTCTCCAAGCCTGGCCAAACAAATAAATAAATACATCTAATCAACTTCATCAGTCTTTGATCATGAGCACGTTCGGATTGTGTCAGCACGCTAAGTTGATGGCCCGTCGGTCACTCAGCCTGCATTATTAAGCAGCGACGCTCACACACAGCGATGTGCGTGTGTGTGACCATATTGCTTTTGACCTCTTTACGGCCTTGCGCTGCTCTCGTCACATGTTGGAGACCAGAAACTCAAATGAATGAATGCGAATGATAACAAGCGTTCTGCCATTTTTTTATTTCCTCGTCAGGAATATGAAACAAAGACTGGCAGAGCTGGACACAGCAATCTGACGTCCCCCAGGCAGAATGTGAGGAAAAACCTGGACTTTGAGCCTCTCTCCACCACCGCTCTCATACTGGAGGACAGACCTGCGTATGTAAACACACTGGATTTGCTATCAGTTTTACTTTGCACACGGATGATGAAAGCATACATTGTCGCTCTTTTATCTTCACATTCCCCCCATTCTTCCCATTTTTGCTTTATGAACCTTTTGTCCTCAACCAAAACCCACCAGTCTTATTCGTGGACTTCGTAAGTGAGCCTCCAGAAACTTTTTAAAACACTCTTCAACTTCAATGCACTTTTTTTGGGAAAGTATTCCAGCGCACCTGTTCTTACTGTAAAACTACCCACGAAACAAAACAGAATGAATGGAACATTGTAAATGTAACAGACGTGGGCAATTGATCAAATTTTGTTGGGCCGGCATCCGTCAGCAGCCTGGGTGCCCGTCCGCCATCGTCACTCCATCATTTTTTCAATCCGAACCAAACTGTTATCATCAGTTGACCAGTCGGTCATGTTATTTTAGCCGTGCTTCCGTTAGTAAATATCAATGGTCCGCCAGTCCGTTTCTCATCGGTACACTGTACACACATGGTGACTGTGCTCTGCCACGTCCAGTCCCTCGAAACCCAATCGAAAGACGATGTAACACATCCATCCATCCATCCATCCATCCATTTTCTGACCCACTTTATCCTCACAGGGGCCACGGGGGCGTGCTGGAGCCTATCCCAGCCGTCTTCGGGCGGTAGGCGGGGGACACCCTGAACCGGTTGCCAGCCAATCGCAGTGCACACAGAGACGAACAACCATCTGCGCTCACACTCACACCTAGGGACAATTCAGAGTGTTCAATCAGCCGGCCTTGCATGTTTTTGGAATGTGTGAGGAAACCCGAGTACCTGGAGAAAGTCCACGCAGGCACGGGGAGAACATGCAAACTCCACACAGGAAGGCCGTAGCTGGAATCGAACCCGGTACCGCTGCACTGTGAGGTTGACGCGCTAACCACTGGATCACCGGGCCGCCCGACGTAACATATGTCTTCACATAATGCGGCACGACGAACGAAATTTTTGACATGCCAGACTTCCGTTTTTGTGGTCGCGAAGCGTCCAGATGCCTGGTAGTACTAAATGGCTGCCCCCCTGAGATAGAGAAATATGGGTGAATGAGTCACATTCCACAAGCACAACATGAATCAGAATGCTGCTTTTAGACTGGGGGGGGGGGGGCGCACAGCACATATTATTGTAAGTAGAGGTTTTTACTTGACTTCCCCTTAATCACATGGAACACATACAAAGCATATGTAACACTTGTAATGTATCCGGGGAACATTCTGCTGCATTTTTTTGAAAATAGGAGAAGAGAACAAACACTTCCTGTTGCCGCTTCTGTTTGTGTAATGCAGCCCCAAAGCCCACCTCCTCACTGTATTTGTACAAATGCGTTCCAGTAATCTTCCGGCCAAGCCGGCCGAGGAAGCCGAGAAACACAGGCAGCAATATGAAGAGATGGTGGCGCAGGCCAAGAAGAGAGGTAACATGATCTCCCCGCACTTTTCTACTCTCTCACATCCTTCCCGGTCATGTCTCAGCATGCCTCTCCGTCGTGCTTGTCGTCGTCGTAGAGCTGAAGGAAGCCCAGAAGAGAAAGAAGCAGTTGGAGGAGCGCTGCAAGCTGGAGGAGAGCATCGGCTCGGCCGCGCAGACGTGGAACCAGGAGATCCTGCCCAACTGGAGCGCCATGTTAGTCATCGCCAAGCCCGCCCACTGCGCCGTTCAATCCCATCGATCGCAATTGGGAGCTCGTCGGCCGTGGCTCGAGTCCACCTTTTGACCTCTGCGCTCCCGTCCTCCGCAGGTGCACGTCGCGACGTGTGAGGGACCTGTGGTGGCAGGGCATCCCGCCCAGCGTCAGAGGCAAAGTGTGGAGCCTGGCTGTGGGCAACGAACTCAACATCACTCATGGTACTGCTGCTCGGTATTCGGGCTGGACAGTGAATTGAATTCAAATCGACTTTCCAGCGCGGTGCAATGCATATTTGTCAAGAGGTTCGCGATTGAACCCAGGTTAAGAACCACTGCATTAGATGCTTATTAATATGAAAGAAAACAAAAAAAGAACAAACAATAACTTTATTATCACTCCCGAAGTCGATGCTAATTTCCTGTTCGCGTTTGGATTTAGCACTAGCACTAGCGATGTTTTGTTTTGAATCAATTTTTTTAGTCTGTAACAACAAAGATTAGAAGTGCATTCATTTGCCTGAAATTTAAATACAGTATATGAAAGCACCACTGCCACCTACTGTAGTGGATGTGCAATTACATTTTATCCACGTACGGTGAGAAAAAGCATGCTTCCCATGGTCACGTTTTTTGCCTACGTACGTGTGCTACGAGTGGATGAGCTCGCAGTCCCTGAGGCTGGACAAAAAGATCGAACAAGATTTAATGATCGGCGGAGTCTGACAGTAAAGTCCACGCGGTACATTTGCAGCTCCATATCACTTTAATGACCGTCCGTTTATTGGCCTCCGCAGAGCTTTATAACATCTGCTTGGCGCGGGCCAAAGAAAAATGCAGGAGCACAGCAGCCAATGCACCGGAGGCTGAAAGCCAAGGTACGGACGCGCCACTCGCACCGCCCAAAAGCCCGCAAATCTTTGACAACGGATCTCATTTTGTCATGATGTCTTGCCGCCCTGCCCCAGATTCGGGCTCGTCGAATCGGGAGTCGAGCTTGGAGCTGATCAAACTGGACATCTCGAGAACGTTCCCGCAGTTGTGCATATTCCAGCAGGTCTGCGGGAGGCAAAACACTTGCCACAGGGCAACTTCGTTCGCCCGAATGCCCGTTTGCATCATAATTTCTTTGTCGTTTAGGGTGGACCCTATCATGACGTGCTGCACAGCATTCTAGGGGCTTACACTTGCTACCGGCCGGATGTCGGCTATGTAAGTGTCACCTTGCTTACTTGAAATTGCATGAGTCGGCATTTTCTGGTTTTGTCGTTTTTCTCTCACCTGAAGGTCCAGTACGGCTTCTCTTATTTCACCACAAACAGTATCCGCACATGCAGGCAGCATACGACAACACATGCCGGCATGTATTCTTTATCCTCTGCGTGTACAAGGAGTCTCATTTTTGTAGCTTACTGAGCAGTTTTGAGCGTCTGCTTCATGTAGATCGCTCTGTCTCTGATCACACCGACACTATCGATATTGTCGTTTGAAAGCCGTCCGCATTTGTGAAAGTTCAATAGGGCAGCGTCACCTCGCCCCCGACAAATTATGTGGGTGATCAGAACCACTTGTTCTGAGGTGATCGGTTTCCACCGAGTGCAACTGAAACCAAAGCCGTAGTGGGCAGACGGTTTCCTGTAAGTCGGAATGGCTTCAAATGCCACTTTTCAGATTCCTTACGGTACGCTACGTGTGGGTTTGCCTTTGCAGGTGCAGGGAATGTCGTTCATCGCGGCGGTGCTCATCCTGAACCTGGACACGGCCGATGCCTTCATCGCGTTCGCCAACCTGCTCAACAAACCTTGTCAGATGGCCTTCTTCCGAGTGGACCACAGCCTTGTCGGTGCACGAGAAGATACGATCACGGTTGGCCCCGCGGACACGGCGCAGTCCTGACGCGTCTTCCTTCTTGTGTGGTCGCAGATGTTGACGTACTTTGCTGCATTCGAGGTGTTCTTTGAAGAAAACCTACCAAAGCTCTTTGCACATTTCAAGAAGAACAACCTGACCCCCGATATTTATTTGATCGACTGGTGAGTTTTTTTTTTTTTTTTTTTTCTTTTCATGTTTCATAAGTATTGACTTGAAAATGCTTTGCCCCCCGCACATGCTCATGTTGTCTGCCTTCAGGCACCTCTGAGAAAACAGGAAATGGCTGTTTGCGCGGGTGGGAGGGCGTTTCTTCAGGGGGTCCGTGTCGCTTTGAAAATTCCAAGATTTCCGTTTCGAATTTGACACATAGAACATGCTGTTTTTCCTGTCCTTAACTCTCCTTTCTGTGGTAGCCGAGCGCGATTTTCAGTGTCATACTCACAAAATGTTTGTGACATTTGGCCTTTGGGTGAAATTTTAAAATGCACTCCAACCATTCAAAGTGAACTTAATTTGACTTCTAAAATTTGGGATGTCTGTTCAACGTTCATAACTTATTGAAAACGTGTGCGACGTACATCTACGTCACTGGCAGTAAACGGTTGGAATCCACTTGAAACATATAAACAACCGTGCCACTGAATTCCTTCATATTAGGGCTGACCAATACAGTATGGATTTTTTTTGTCCAATTAATCAACCAGTTAATTCAAAGACATATGATTTGAAAAACAATTTTTTTTTGGGGGGGGGGGGATCCGTATTTTCAATAATAATAGAAAAAGGTTTCTGTTTTACAATACTTTGTTCTTTAGTATTTGTTTAACAGAAAGAAACATCTACAAAAATCTATTTTTCTGTTTTGTTTGGGGGGTTTTTGGGGGGGTGGTGGTGGTGTTTGTCATTGTTTTTGTCTCGTGTTATAATTTATTAATAAGTTGAAAAAACTGCCATTTATAAAAGGGCTAATATTGGCCGATTTATCAGTCGCGCCCTATTTGCAGCAATATGCCATTTTTCGTCATTGTGTGTGCTACATTGCACTCATTTTGTGACTAGTTGGGACTTTTGTCACGATACAGTAAAAAATAAAAAATCACATCAGGTCTTTTTGGGTGATGTCCAGAACTAACCTCGGCATCCATTCGCTCTTCCAGGATCTTCACCTTGTACAGTAAGTCTCTGCCACTGGACCTGGCGTCTCGCGTGTGGGACGTCTTCTGCCGAGACGGCGACGAGTTCCTGTTCCGCACGGCGCTGGGCCTGCTGCGCCTCTTCCAGGACGTGCTGACCGGCATGGACTTCATCCATATGGCCCAGTTCCTCACCCGCCTGCCCGACCTGGTCCCCGCCGAGCAGCTCTTCCAGCACATCGCCGCCGTCCACATGACTAGCCGAAACAGGAAGTGGGCGCAGGTAGGCCAACACGCGTCAGGAGATCATGACTGTTACTAGTTTTGAACCGTCATAATATTTTTAACGAGACTGTGTCCTTTTAGGTTCTGCAGACGTTACAGAGGGATCCGGAGCGAGGCAGTCCGGTGCTGAAGCGCTGACCTGCAGTGGACAAGCATCAGGAAGACTGAACTTGTGTCTTTTCATGGAGCGACGTCCACGATGACGTCAACGGGGGATCCGTGAGTACCCGAGCAGGGGTGCCTTATACTTCACGAACTTCCCAGCAGAGGAGCCACAACACGACACACTCCCGGACCCCCGTGGGACCACCCAGATGCCAGTTATCACGTCCACTTTGTCACTCAATCCTCTTTAACGTTTTTTTAATGGTGACTCCCCCAACGAAATCTGGAGCCAATTTGTTGTGTTGTAATGTTACATGTCGAGATCCTCTGGAAACGAGGTCAGAAGCTGCCTTTCAATATTTGTGGGACATATTGTAACTAAGGACTTCACATCATTCGACATTTCACCTTGTTAGTCTTTTAATTGTGTGAAAGGGGGTGGGGGGGGCTTAAAGGAAAGGGGCTGTCTGCCGCAGGTGCTTTTCTTTGGATTTTGAAAATCAAAATCCTCACAGTCCTTTCGGGGCTTATTTCTTCATCTCGACTGCTAATTTCAGGATTTTGCACTATTCATTGAAGCGGTTTCTCGGGCATTGTTGTCCATTTTGCACACTTCTGTTATCTAGTGCAAAATCGGCGGTGTGAATTTGGGGTTTCGGTTTTTCGTCCGGGGGCACTTGATCGTCGTCCATTGCTCAATTTGACTACATGTTGTGTGTTAACAGGAAACGTCTTTTTTTTTTTTTTCTTTCTATATAGTCTATGTGGTTTTGCACTCCCTCCCCAAGCGCAGCAACACACCGCAGAACTGCAATAACACTTTTTTTGCACATTGACCCTGCGGGTGCATCATGAGTCATTTCTCAGACTCTTTTCAGTTTGGTTATCTGTGTGTGTGTGTGTGTGTGTGTGTGTGTATGTGTGTGTGTGTGTGTGTGTGTGTGTGTGCGTGCGTGTGCGTGTGCAGTCGTATTTCCAGAATGAGACGATCACCTCGGCTAATCGTTTGTTACACGTGACTTTGGCTCTTTTGATCCGCCGTGGTTGAAAAGTTCCAAGAAAATCAGATCAGCACAGAATTGAATGTAAACTGTTGATTGCACTGTTCTGTCTTTGTTTTGCTGTCCTCTTCAGGTTTGGATTTTTCTTGCTTTGGACTGGCCTGCTGGAGGGAAAAGGAACATGTCATTTGACCAAATAAAGGACTTGCAAATATTCATGTTGTTATATTGTACACCGATGTCGATGATTGACTTGACATAGGCGGGCGAGAACCGCAAGTGCATTTCATTTCCGTTGCAGCTTTGAAAGCAGAGTGGAAAGGTTGATGTCACAAGTCGTGTCAAAACCACAAGTGCCCACCTTCTTCCACGATGCAGAAAGGACGTGTCGTATTTATAAATGTGATACGGACTGCATCTTTAGAAGCACCACGACCACTTTCATCATCAAGATCTCCCGAAAGCAGCACACCATGAGGAGCATTCGCGTCTTTCTGCTTTGCGCGCTGGCAGCCGTGACGATTTCGGCCGTTGTCGGCAACAGTGAGCCTTGAACATTTCTCTTTGCGTTCTTTCTCCTTCCACGCGTTTCATTGTGCTTTCCATTTATTTATTTGCCAGATTCCAGCGGTCCGGAAGAGTGCTGTTTTCGACACTACCCACGAAAACTGAGCCCCAAAATCTTTGAGTCCTATTTTATGACTGACGGCCGATGCCCCTTAATGGGAGTCATGTAAGTTTCTTCATCTTCTTCTTCTTGCGATGAATGCATCTCAAAATGTTCTCCCAGCATTGTCGATGTTGTGCCCTCACAGTCTGGTGACCAAAAAGAAAAATCACATCTGTGCCAACCCGACTCTCTCCTGGGTGAAAAAAGTCATGAAGTCTTTGGACGAATCCATCCTGTGAAAGGTTCCGCTGCCCGCCTGCGGCGTCGTGAAGCACCGTTGTCCACGTTTGCTTCGTCTGCTTTAACGGTCTCACATGCACAAAAAATAGTACTCATGAGCGTCTGGCTATGTTTTCGGTCAACTTGACTTTGCCGCTTGCTGATTTTTGTTTTATAGTTATATTCCCTTTAGTCTCTTGAGGTTGTATGCATATTCATGTAAAATTGAATGCAAGGGGCATTTCAGTCATGCCCCCCCCCCCCGCCAAAAAAAATTGAAGCAGGGAATCAACATTGTGCTTTTAAATAATACAAAAACTGTCGAATCAAGTCGTAACAAACGTACATGCTGACGTAGAGCTTGACGTAATCTAATTGGGTAATGCTGCCATCTGCTGGATTTTTTTTTTTTTTTTTTTTGCCGGGCGGGGGGCGTATCTGGTTTGTAAGTGCGGCTACTAATCAAAAAAAATGTATAGATAATTGTTTCGCAATATTTCTAATATGAATGAAATTATATAAATGGTGACTTGAATGAAAAAAATTCTACTTTCGGTATGAGCAAAACCTGCAACTAAGTTTAGTGAACAAAACACATCTATAGTAAACTGCACATATTAATCAATTTAATAATCTGCATCTCTGGTGGGTATGATGTACTTAAATTGCAATGTTTCTGTTTTTATCATGTCATTCTTCATGGAAAAAAAGGCTTCAAGCTGTCTAATGTCCAGTTTAAATTTTGTGTCAAAATAAACATAAAACAAAAGACACAAAGTGTATATTTTTTTTAAATCAGCTTTGCTATCTCCTTCTCTCAGCGCTTAACAACCATTGCATCACTCAGATGCTAACTGTTAAGCATATCATTGAAACATAAATTGCACGGGTAGTCACGGAATGAATCTAACTTGCATCTCAAAGCACCACCGTAAATGAACCACTGCTTAAAACGGAATCGACTACAATGACGCAATTTCTTCACGTCGACCTTTGAGCTTCTCCAGTTTGTCCTGCAGTCGTTGGGCAGCCCCCACGGTGACCCCAAAGTCCCACAAGAGGAGCGTGTTCCCCAGTAGTCCCCGCGTCTGCTTCAGCTCCGCGTTGTCCCTCCGCAGGCTGCCGCCAGCCCGCTTGGTCCGGGTCAGCAGGTCCCTCCTGGAGGTCAGCGTGGCCTCCAGCCGGGCGAGCTGCTCCCGCTTGGCCTGCGCCTCCATGTGACTCCAGTATAGCTTCTCCTTCATGTTTGACAGCAACTGTGAGAGGGCAGGATAAAGAAAATATGCCTGTGAGAGTTATTGGGTTATCTGTCTACATGTGCTGGTCGCTTTTTGCGTTGAAATTTCGGTTTTCTGAAAGGGTTATAGCACTGATGCTATTCATTAGCCGGTATTTTGCATTGTTTGCATCAAGCAAAGCGGACTTCCCCGAGGACGGATTTGACACCTCCAATGTGCGCTTTATATTCTTCCGGATCTTGGAGGCCTCTTGACTCCTCCGCTCGTTCGCTTTCCTCTCCAGCGTCTTTTGGGCCATCAGCTGCTTCAACTGCCGTAGCAGGAGGTCCCGCCCCTCCTCCTGCTCCTCCTCGCCCAGCTCCGCCTCCAAACGGACCACCCTGCTCTCCATCCCAGCGTGTACCAGACGCAGCTTCCTCAGCTCTTGGCGATGTCGCTGCTCAGACCCCAGCGCGGCGTCCACCTTGGCCCGGGCCGCTTCTGGAGACAAATGGCCTCTTAGCAGCGAGACGGCCACCTTCTTCTTCCAAGTCAACAGGGATTGCCATTCATCCTCCACCTGGGAACAAACAACAAAAAAAGCCTTTTTGTTGCTTAAAGATAAAAACGCTTAACGGCCATAAAAATTCTGATTTCTGGGGTGATCGTTCCAATATTTTCAGAGGTTGAAGTGGGCATAAATCCACGTTAACCTTCGTTACAAGTGATCACTTGATGTTAAGCTTTTTTTTTCTACAGTGAGCGTCTTATTGAGAGGAAAAGACTGAACATTTGCAAACTCCAAACTATTGGGGTGACCGTTCTGATCTTTTCATGGGTTTAAGTGGACATAAGATGTCCACATAAAATCTTGTGACGATCGATAACAGATTTCTGATTTGAAGTGACGTTAAGCTCTTTTACGCTTGTATTAAGTGTTTTAGACTGTCCCTTTTTCAAACTCAGCAAACGATAAAACGTGAAAATAAATAAATAAATAGAACGTAAAAAGACATGGGCGGCAGAAACCACTTCACATTACCTGTACTTCCCTTGCAGTGAAAGGACAATATCAGTTGGTGGCGCTAATTTACAAATAATCTGGTTCATAACCACTTACAAACCCCACAGAAGTTCGAGATAGGAGTTGTAGTAGTTGTAGTTATTAATTCATTTCAAAATACTTTAAAGAAATGAAATTCTCTAGCTTGCCATAATCTAGCTACCCGATTGAGCATCTCTTGGTTGTTTAGCCTCAACTCCTCTTCTTGCCGCTGAGCTTTCTCCATCTGGGAAGCCCTCTGCCGCCTCAGCTCCACCAGGTGCTCCAGGCACTCTTGGTACTCCTTCATGTCCGGCTCAGGGTCTTGTTCATGGGGCGTCGTACCCCTCAAATGGAAGACCATCTGTGCCTGGAGCTCCATGTTGCGCCGGCTCAGTCGGTCGTTCTCCTCCTCCAACTCTTGCAGGAGGCGCATGGAATCATTTTTGATGCCTACAACATCACCTTCAAGATCCTCACTTCGTCTTGGGGGTTCTGATTCAGGTTTAAGAGGGTCCACATCCCCCTCTGTGTTTTCCTGCACCTCACTTTCTAATGAATCCTCTGGCCCAGTATACATTTTTTTAATTTAAAATTATCGTTAAATGTATAATCAAGTGTATGTCACGCTAGAGGACTCGCACACCCGCTAGCAAAAGGAGTTGTGTTGTCTTTTCGTTGTCGTGGCAACAAGCCGGCTGGGTTTGCTCCGTAAAGCTGTAATGACAAATAATTGCCACAGGAGGGCAGTGTTTTACAAACAAACGGCATTGAAACAGAGTGGTCATCGATCGATCATTGAAATGACATTTCCAAAATCATATTTAATCTCGTTTTTGTTGTTTTATGGTTGAATCTTATTTCAACTTATATATTATGTTCTTTTACTTATTTTAATTTAATACTAATTGAGTTCATGCGATGACTAGTCTTTAGTTCAGGTTAGTGTTCTTCGACTACCATTACCACTACTACTACTCCTCCGACTACTACTAGTAGTAGTAGTAGTAGTAATAATAATAATAATAATAATTGTAATAATAATACAATGTTCATTTTGACCATAAGGCTCAAACAGGTTTGACTACCTACCAAACAAGTGTTATTTCTTTTTTTAGTTTGTTTTTAATTTAACTAAGTACGGTCAATTAATTTTGCTGCGTTACATTTAAGATGGGATTTTGTCACCGTATATTAAATTTCAGATCTTTTTATGCGAAAATTTGAGCTAAGATGATGGGCTGGAGAGAGTTGTCTTCACTGCTTTTGTCATTTAATTTTGTTTTAAGAATGCAATTATTTGATAGATTTTAAATTTTATGATATTCATATTCAAAACATACATTATTGTATGTTTATGTCTGACTGATACCATATCATGTTGAAAAATAATTTCAGTCAGTGGATGTCTAAATGTATGGACTAAGCGTGTGTGTGTGTGTGTGTGTGTGTGTGTGTGTGTGTGTGTGTGTGTGTGTGTGTGTGTGTGATAGATCTATGTATCTATCTATCTTAATTTTTTGTTTGTATGAATGTTTTAAGAATTTCTGCAGACTTTGTGTCACTGATTAGGTGCATTCACGTACCGTTTCCATCAAGCACAGATGGAAGAGATGATGACCACCTGAATGCTTGCACCTGTGCTTCTTCCAATAAAACACCTCAGGTGATGACACTCTGTTTTTCTGTTATGACTGCGACCTTGTGAGGGTGTCCTGTTTGGTTTATATGCTTGTTTGTAACATGGTAGCATCTCTATGAAGAGAAAAATGATGTGCATTTTTTTAACATTGCCTATGTTTTCCATGGACAGATGTTGAGTTCACAATGACACCTCATGTCGGTAGCCCGAAAAGCACAGAATAGACTTGTCTAGACGCCCAGACTTTCAACTGCAGCTTCAAAGATGATCAGCCACACTAAAAGTGACACCGGATCTGAGCTGTAGCTTTAAAAAGACACAGGGGCTCATGTTGGAGCTTGGGGTGCACCATGGTTTCATATCCTCTTGAGCCACAATAATGCACACTGCTGAAGTAAAAAGAAAAAAAAAAACGTCGTAATTTCGGGGAGCAGGCTTTTACGCTTCAGCTATATTATTCCTGCAATAAAACCCGAATAAATTATGTAGAAGTGACTTGCACCAAAATGTATTTGATCAAATATTTTCAAATGTGAAAAAACATCACAGCGCATCATTCAACCATTTAAATCCTAACATTCTTAAAAAAGGCATTTTTGTGCGCTATTTTTTTCATAATCGACCAGAGGAAAAAACATAATTTAGCGTCATGAGACTGCCTCGTGTCCAGTGTGTGTGTGTGTGTGTGTGTGTGTGTGCGTGTGTGTGTGTGTGTGTGTGTGTGTGTGTGTGTGTGTGTGTGTGTGTGTGTGTGCGTGCACACATGCGCGCTACCTGCAGCGTAAAATCTTTCTGCCACATGACACAGACACTGACCATGAGACCACCCACATGCCAGACCACCATCTGTGAGACAACTGTGTGATCATTTGGAAGAAGACACACATCCAACAATATACAATAAGAACGAAAAGATGTCCAAAATGGGAGTTGGGCAAATGAGCTGAATTTTTACCTTTTTAAATTCTATTTCAAGGCCTCGTCATACTTGAATTCCGCCAACTTATATGATTTGATTTGATTTGATTCCTGTGCATACGTGAAATGTTTTTATGTTGAAATCAGACTTTGCACATGTTGGCCAAAGGGTCAAAGGTCACCCCCTGGACCCTGAAATCGCATTGGTTTCGGTTCAAATCAAACTAGACAAGAGTTCATCGTAACACACACACACACACACACACACACACACACACACACACACACACACACACACGCACACGCACACACACACACAATACCGTTCTACTCCTCCACCACCTGGACGTGGTGGGTTAGTGTTACCCGCTCCCCCTCTCCTTGAGCCTTTCTTCTTTTGATGGCTGCCCCCACTTCGCCCAATTCAAACAACTTCAAATAAAAGCAAAAAAAAAAACACTAACAAAAAAAAAACTTTGTCACTTTGGTGCTTCTGCTGTTATAAATCACACAAGTCCACTTGAATGTGAAGCCCGCAGACAAGCGACGCCGAACCGAAACCAGGCCATCAACAAGTAAAACTTAACAACGCATCTCCTCATTCTTTTATGCAAATGCAAATTATTTCACCAGTGTCATAAAACACTCAGTCAATTACAAACAGGAAATGTTTTTTTTTTATGACACCACACAACAGAAAAAAAAAAACATGCATAGTGCTCTGACTTGAGAAAACAAAAAAAATGTCGGTTGTTCCCACAAGCTGAATGAAAACGACGGCCGAATGTTGTGACGAGGCCTGGCTGCTTTCCATTAGTCCTAATCTGAGCAAGATTGTGTTGCCGCGAAGGCGGCGTGTCCACACGGAAGGCATGCGGTTCCACGGATGGCGGGGGGATTGACCCTCGCCCTCTCAGGTTAACAGAAGCCCAGGGTGTTAGGCAACTCCCCCAAAAAAATCTGCTTTGACCTTGATGCAACATTAAAAGTGAAACAGATTTTATGCACACGCCGTCGGACTCCTGAACAAATGCCATCTCAATCTGTCAACCGCACTGCGCAATATTTTCCTTTTGTGATGCTCGCTCGCTTGAACGTTCACAGCAGGTGTGTCAGACTCATTTTTGTCACGGGCCACATTATAGTTACCGGTTCCCTTGGAGGGCCGTTATGACTGTGAAACCATATAAGGAAGTCAAGAATAATGGAATAGAAAATGACGACACTATGAAATGGAAGCAAATTTACAACTGCATCCAGCTCGGTTTGGATTGAAACAAACATCGCCGGGTGGTTCAAAAAGCTGCTTCTCACATCACATCTTAACTGGAACACGTATGAGGGAGCATATACAGTCATCCCCATTTTGGTTACATTATGTTGAATTGTCCTACTTTCTGTTTGGATTTATGTACAGCCTTTAAAAAAAAAAAAAAAACTTGAATGAAATATTCGTCTTCGATGATTATGGATTCTAAACGTCTGATGACATACATGACCACACAATGCGGCTTCTTCTATGAGTGTCCTTCTTTTGAACGGGTGGTTGTTTGTGCGTGGGGAGACGCGTGAACAACATGGCCGTGCACGGTCCGCGCCAGCCGGGCTTAAGTTGTCTGTTAGTGTCTGTGTAAGTGTGTGCCTTCGGGGACTTTGGGGGGGATCAAACGCTCATGTCGTCAGGCGCTGCCGAGGGGAGACGACCGCTGACAGGTGCTTCCTGCAGGCCCAGTGTGGCAGGTGCTCGCGCGCACACACACACACACACACACACACACACACACACACACACACACACACACACACACACACACACGCGCACACTCTGTGAAGGGCAGATAGTTTGCCTCTCAGACATGCTTGTGCACACACTGACCCATATGCATTTTGTTGCTTCCTGCCAATGACCAGGAAGCCAATCAGCAGTCACCTCTTCCAAAACATGGCTGCCACACAAATAGGAGCTCTCCCATCTGTCTCCATGTGTAACACACGCACACACATGCACATGAACACCGGGCGATTATGTTTTCGCTCCCCAAATGAAAGCAATCGCCGTATCGGCAGGTTACACGTGTATATCTAAATACGGGCTTGATTGAAGTTGGTTTCAAAAATAAAATGTACCACATCACACCCCAGGAGGACAATGAGGCGCTCTAAAGTCTGGAGCCCTTCACCGTACACTGGCTGTCACGTCAGACTGATAAAAAGATAAATAAATGGGCACCAGTTTTCCGCCCTTTTTCCATGACATGCATGCACTCATGGCCAACAATGAGGCGCTCTAAAGATACCACGTGCTTGTGAAGCCTAGGAAACAAACAGGCTGTTAATTTGGAAGAGAAAAAAAATGTCGGCATCCATGCACTTCTACCTTTCTCTGCATTAAGTGCATGCACTCACAGCCAACAACGATTCACTCTAAAGCGAATGAAGATACATTGACGGTTGGAGACATTTTTACATCACTTCTGGAGGTCATGGAAAACCCCTTGAGAGCAACATCTCAAAAATTGAGAAGTACAAAGTTTTGAGTCTTTTATCATGTTTTCAGGAATTACCTTGTATAATTTACTCAGACCCGAATGTTTTCAATTCACTTGACAGGGTCGATAAATAGAGTAGAGAATGAGCGAATGATTCCGAATCCAGCCATCACCGCTCTCCTCTTTCGTTTTAAATTTGCAATAACTACGATAACAATAAATACAGAGCAAAGAATTCAAATAAAATAATTTTATGACAAGAACATGAAGGCATAGTGGTAAAGCAAAAAGCATTAAAAAAAAAAAAAAGCAAATTAAGGCTTCATGCTTTGAGAGCCTGGGTGACCCTGTGTTGTGGCGACGAGGTCGAGACCTCGCTCGCCGAGTTTCCGCCGTCCGTGTCAGCCAGCAGGTGAGGCGGGATGTATCCCGTCTGAGACTCTAAGGGCTTGCTTTGCTGGTGAAGGGGTCGGTCAGCACAGCGCCCCCTCTTGTCCTGCCCGCGAAAGCCTCTCAGCTTGGGGCTCCAGTGTTCCCGCCACTGGAGAGCCAACGTGGAGCGGTCGGCCACCAGCCTCCTCTCGTCCGGCGCCCAGCCTCTCTCGCCCTCGTTGGCGCCAATCAGCAGAAAGGTCCGGCCCACGTGGAGGGCGGGGCATCCGCAGGCCAGGTCCCGATCGGGGACCCAAAGGGATTGGGGGCCTCTGCGGATGTGGGTGGGGGATCCCGTGCGGAAGACGACTTGGACCGAGATGGAAAACTGCCACCAGGGACCCGAACGCTCCATCCCTCTCACCTGCACCTTCAGCACTAACACACGCAAAGGCTATTTGTCACTTTTTCACCAAGTCGAGGCAACCAAATGAAATCAAATGAAGCAACCAACCGTAGTCCTTGCGGCAGTACGTGTCCAAGTTCATCCTGACTTTCACCTGCGAAGGCTGGCAGTGGGACACACACTCCTCATCTGTGGGGGGGCAGATGGTAGCATTTCTATCGGCTGCGTTGATCCAGTACTTGTGGATGTTCGATCTTTTTGTCCGGTCAGAATTTGCCAACTTGCCATGTCAATCTAATCTTCCTAAGGCCTTCAGAATCACAAGCCCTGACCTGCGTATCTTCAACTATCTTAGTAACGGGAACGTTTCTTCAAGATTTTAACCCTTTCATGCAGTCTGTAACCTGATAACACGATAATCTGTCCACTGTAGTCACCGCTGTCCCTGAAAGGGTTAAATTCACCTCCCACAATAATCGCCTGTGATTGGTTGGTCAGAAGAAAATTGTTCAACTAGCAAAAAAAAAAAAAAAAAAAAAATTCTCTCAAACGTTTGATGCTTTTGTCATGTTTTTATTTTTTTTCACTATCGATGGTTTATATAATTGCGACAGATGGATTCAGACCACAATAAAGGACCAGGTATCAAATCCCTAACTATCACTGGCGAGGGACAACATGAACACAACATACAGGCCGTCTCATTACTGAAAATGTGGCGGCTTCAATTTGTCATCACAGTATCCTGTGACCAACAGTTGACCTTGCTGAGCAGTGGACGCACATTCCAGAAGAGTCTTGGGCCACTTGGGGTCCGGTCACGTCATCCAATTAGAGATTAGAAGAATTTACTCTTAATTGTAGTTGTTTCGGAAAGTACGGTATATGTCAAGTGAAATTGGTGTGTAGTATCGGTATGCTACCACGAGTACCGAGTACCATTATCAGTATCGGGGAGTACCCAAATGAAAGTACGCGTCCTCAGACTGACATATGTGGTATTCCTAATTACAACAGCTATGCTCGTTTCCTTGAGCCGTGTTATGTTAGCATTAAGCTAGCGGTAGTTCATCATTTTGGTGTTTAAATATATCATATTTTGCTGACTTTTCTTTGGTGGCTCAGTTTTGGAGTGTGTATCAACTACGAGTAGAACATATGGCTTGGAAAACTGTGCGAGTGAGAAGGCAAGAACAGGCACAAAGTAACATCTTCAAAAGTGTGTTGCGCTATGACTCACCGATGCTGTACTGGGGCTGAAAGACCGGAGTTGGAGCAACCTCTTGAATCCCTGCAATCAAAAATGGTGTGAAACACTTGATGAAGACATGCGTGTGGTCTTTTTTTTTTTTTTTTTTTTTTTTTTTTAACGACCAACAAATCTTCCCGCGAATGTTGACTTATTCAGTAAGGCCAGAGCGTGAAGAAATTGCCTGCCGTCCATTTATACATTGTCCAGACCTCTTGTAAAAGTACAAACATTTGCCACCATACCCGGTTTGGTCCTTTCTGTCAAAAGTAGGCATGTGATATGAAACATCCCCTTTCAAATCGCTAACTCTCCCCTCGATGGTGTTTCGCATTACGTTAGCATTAAGCTAGCCGACTTTTGTTTTGACATGCTTTGGTTGAACATTATGGTTTTGTGTCAGTTGTTGGTCATGACAAGTGAGGTCATTTAAGTTACGAAAAGGCACGCAGTTAAATGCCCCGCAGGAGGCTAATGGACGCTATACTTAGTCTGGTCTGGCAGGAAAAACAAACAAAGTTTTCTTTCACGCGGAGCTTTCACTGTCAGAGTTATGAGTCTGGGTCTCTTTTGATCCCTGCGACAGGTGATCCCAAGTTTTGGTCGGCGGACAGCGTTTGGATCGACTTACGGACGCACGGACGCAAAGGCGACGTGCCCTGTTTGTATCCACGGGCGCAGCGGTTGCACCTGAGGCCGGTCACTCCTTGTCGGCACAGGCACTGACCCGACGTGTGGTTACACCAGCGGCCCACCGCTCCCAGAGGATGGCACTGACAAGCTGGGGGAGGAAATAACCAGGAGAAATTATCATTCAGACTCCGGATGTCGAGAATGTTTTCATTGCAGATCGTATTATAATCATGGTCAGCCCTCTGTGGTCTGGTTATAGCGGTGAAACAACATAGAATCGCAAGGAGGGTTCATGCTTCCGCCACAAATTGCTGTGTGGTTTTCAGTAAATCTTTGTTCCTCTGCTATGCTAATGACAGGCAGAACAATTAAATCTCAGTATGACTCCGATTAATTTGAATGCAATGTGTAATTCTGCCCAGGAAGCTATTTCAACAGCACAGTGGTCCAGTGGTTACCGCGTCGACCTCACAGTGCAGAGGTCGTGGGTTCGATCTCCGGCCTTCCTGTGTGGAGTTTGCATGTTCTCTCCGTGCCTGTGTGGGTTTTCTCCGGGTACCCCGGTTTTCTCCAACATTCCAAAAAACATGCATGGCAGGCTGAGTGAACACTCTAAATTGTCCCGAGGTGTGATGTGAGCGCAGATGGTTGTTCGTCTCTGTTTGCCCTGAGATTGGCTGGCAACCGGTTCAGGATGTCCCCCACCTACTGCCCGAAGACAGCTGGGATAGGCTCCAACCCGTGTGAGTATAAAGCGGATCGGAAAATGGATGGATGGATAGACGTGAGTCGAGAACGTCAATCGGTGACAACCACTTTGGACCTGTGTCCTGAATAGCTGGACGCTCTCACAAGTGTAGCCAGCCCATAACACACACTCCTTCACATTTCATCCCGTAAAAATCCAACACACATTCATACACACGCATGCACGTTTTGTCGCGACTGACGTTGGCAGGCTTTGCGGTGGTGCAGCGGCTTGCTTTGGTCCCGGGTGTACCCGTTGTGGCAGTACTGGCAGTGGCGTCCGGCGGTGTGGTGGCGACACTTGAGGCACACGCCGCCGCTGCGCCGTCCAGACTGCTGGAACACCTCCATGCTGAAGCGGCACTTGTTGGAGTGGCCGTTACACTCGCATGCTGTAGAAGGGGCAAATGCGTGGAATTGCTTTTTTATTTTTGAGTCACCGATTTAGGTCGTTGATGCTGTCACAATACAGTATTAGTCAAAGATACAACAGTATGCCAAAACCGTGTTCCGCTACTGTATTCCAGTTCACATACCGTGGCGGTTCTGCACTGTAGCATTTGTGACTTGTCGCTTTATTAGGCAGGGCATGACGTGTTGAGCGACGTGCACGTCAGAGAATAAGAGTGCAGAGTTGGCTGTCGTTGGCTAAGGTGAGCAGCTGGCTTTCAAGTGGCTAATTGTTAGCCGGCCTCCGGGCGTCAGGAGAGATTATTTTGTTACCGTTTGTTCAACGGCGCAATTGCAAGTGCGCCGGCGTCTGTGTATATATTTGACCACCTGTGAAGGGATTACAGTTCTTTCTAACCAGCAGTGATAGGCTATATTCAATAAGATAACTGAGCTATGCTAATGTTTGCAGTAGACACATTGCACTTTAGCGTCTTTTTTAAATGTTGAAATGATCCCGAACTTTGGACATTCTGTTTTTTACACCCTCTTTCGAGCAAAAAAAAAAAAAAAAAGAAAAAAATTGTGGGATTTTCATTCTCTTGTGCTCTGATGTGCTACTAGTGACATCACACATGTTCAGAGGGAACACTTGAAATGTTTTTTTAAGAACCTAAAATGAATGTATAGGTGCAGCATGGCAAACAGGGATTCACCGTATTGCAATGACGGCCAGCTGTGACTCACCCACACAAGGATTGGGGTGCGTGGGCGTGGCCCGATGCCAGGGTCTGTCAAAGTAGAAATCCTCGCAGACATCACAATCTGGGCCAGCCGTGTGATGCTCGCAGACGCACACGGCCCGCCCCGCGTCGTCACGTCGACACTTGGAAGCATGTCCGTTGCATTTGCACCGACCCCCTACCTGCAGGTCCGAGAGGACCAAAGGGGGCGGGGAGGCTGCGGTCGGGGTTGCTTGTGGTGCCGCCTGGAGGTTTCTGGTGGGTTGCCGGGTATTGGGCTGGTTGTTTCTTCGCTTTCTCAGTTCTCGTCCCTTGGAGCCTCTGTGGCGTCCCTCCACGGTCCAGTTGCAGTCGCCGTTGGGACAAAGGAGCCACTCCTCGCCGTCCTTCTTACGACCGAGCTTTCGAGCTCTCGCGGCCTTTTTGGAGGAATCATCCAAGCTGAAAGTGTCCGCGCTTTCCTTGATGGTCACGTTGTTTCCAACCTTGTGATGACCTCTCCCTCGAAGCTTGTCTGCTTTCTTCCGGATGCTCATTTCAGAGTTTTTTGTGGCCCTGTTTAAAAAGGACAGCATGTTATCTGTGTTGCGAATCGGATCTGCAGCATAGCCTGAACTCAACCTCGGGAGGGCGATAACTGGTCCCTCCTCCGTCCAGCTGTCCTTCTTCTTGCCTGAGCTCAGTTTTGTGTTTGCGGATGCTCGGTGGAAAACCACGCGGATATCTGTAGCTGTCACCCAGTCTTGCAATGTGGGACTGTAGTCAAAATCAGGAGAGGACGGGCGTCCGTCAAGGGCTGAGAAGGCCAGCACCGTACCGCCCCGCTGCCTCTGCAAGGGCCGAGGATCAGAGCATAGCGGTTCCGTTTCCTGGTGTCTGGTCCGGGCCACCGTCTGGGAGGGAAGTCCAAAATCCCCAAAGCAGTCGTTGGAATAATGTTGCATCGGTCTCCAACTGTGTCTGTAGTCCATGGACTTGAAGATGGAGATTGAGATCGGGTCCGATGGCTCCCCATGGTAGCAGAACTGCAGACTAATGTAGGTGATTTCAAAGCGGCGACCCAGGGGCACGGTGAGGACCCAGTCCCCGCTGTCCTGACCCCCTTCAGCCTGCCAACAGGTGAGGTTGTGAGGATTGTGAAGGTCCGTCAAGGTGGTGACATTGCCGTCAAATTCGACGCCTCGGACGGAGCGGCTGGCGTTGACCGGGACGCCGTAGGCGGCGTTGATGAACTCGGACAGACAGTGGCGAGGACGGCCGTCTGGGTGGTAGCAGGGATCGTGAGGCGAAGTCCAACTCAGTGGGACGTGGGACAGCGGGGAGAATAGTAGAGGCCGAGGAAGTAAATAAAGGAGAAGGAAAGCGAGGAAGGGAGAGGTCGAAGGGGGAAGGGAAAAGGCCCGGACCATTTTGTCATCCAGCCTGTGGAGGACAAAAAAAAAAAAAAGACATTAGAAAACATTGCACGAGAGGCACCAGTTTGGTGAAAGTAGTCTTTTATCGTCTTTGGTAAAAAAATAAAATAAAATAAAATAAAAAGAAACAAGCCATGCGTGTGTAAGTGTGTGCGCCTGTGCGGTTGTAGCGACGCCACTCGAGTGAAGAGCACCTCAGCAGTCGAGAATCCGCTGGTCTCTGCTGTGCGCGAACATGTACGCACGCGCGTCTTTTGGTTTCAACCAATCAGCGCCGACGCAACTCACGTCACAGATAAGAGAAGCTTCTTTAAACAACGACCGCAGCTAAGTTAGCTAAGCCGACACGACGCTAGAAGTCAGACGGAACAACGACCGCAGCTACGTTAGCCTAGCCGACGCGACGGTAGAAGTCAGACAGAAGTCAGTTTTTTTCTCATAATCTGTGTGTTTTCCTTTAGTTTGCCTAAATATACATTTTTTACGACAATAACTGTCTTGTCCACGGTGTCTTTTTTCGTTCCACTGGGGTTTAGCAAGTGTGTTTATCAAGAGACAAAAATCTCTCTACACGGTAACGGATTGGTCGATCGCGGGAGGTCGGTTGATCGAATAGTAGATTTTTGGTCCAAAAAAAAAAAAAAAGGTTGAACACCCCTGGTCTATACTGTCTCTTTGTCCGGTATTTTTTAAAAGTCAACATGATACCGAGGGGCCGTACGTCCACATCAAAATACATGACGGCCTCACTGCAATTTCACCCCCACCCAGAAGCCCGAATGACATCTCCAAACTGCTCCGGTGTGCATGCGCTTGAGGGCTGCGATTGTCTGAAACGACCCCAAAACAAAAAATATGGCTGACAGCTGGAGCCAGACCCCAAACTGGAGCGTATCCATCCCATTGATGGCGCTTCCTTTTTCAAACCGCCGCCGTTTGCAGGCAAGCGTTCGGGCTGAGGTGTGCGTGCCCAAGATCTTTTGGAAGCACAACACAAGCGCTCCTTGTGAGGAAATGATTTATCGATGGAAATCTTGCTTGAGCCCCAAACATGAATTGTTTTTGTCCCTAGTGTGAACAAATCTCTTCCTGCCTCTTCCATCTGGTCATGAGCGTAATTCATCCAACTGTCAGGATTTTATCCACTCGAGAGTCACTTTTGGAGCGCAGTCAAAACTAACAATCAACGCCAAAACGGACTTCCTCTTCAGATTATCTTCCCTTCTTAGTTTCTTTGCGCCGTCACCTTGCTTCTCCTCGAGGTTGATTTTCCAAGCCAGGCCTCGCTCATGTGTCACCTGGCCCCTTCGCTCTCTGCGAGATTAATGGCGCCCTAACAAGCGTTTGACACTGACAGCAAAGATCGGCGTGGGCTGCGCAAACCCAAGCGGCGGGAGAGGACGGGAGGCTGAGAGAGCCTGTCCCACCTCGTCATCCCGCTCAATTAGCAAGCAAAATATGAGGCTTCCTGAGGGACGGTCTGGCTCAGGAAGCGGATCGACCAACCCTAAAGGCGAGATCACTGGGGAATGGGCCTGGGTTCGATCGGGGCGAGGACATGCACCTGTCTATGTCGTATAGACAAAAAAAAAAAAACAACAAAAAAAAAAAACACTGAACCATGAAAGGGAAGAAACGCAAAGAACAATCGTGCGTAAGACTTTGCAAATTGTCTCGTGATGACATCACCATTTCCGACTGCAGGGGGTGATCTTCTGATCCAACTATGTGAGCCTGGCAAGAATACGTGCTGACGAACTAGGGGGCCTGTTTACAGCCTGGACACCACAGTGCTGGGTTTATAAAAACACAAATTGTTTTGTACCACTCCGTCTGCGTTAAAGTAACACTTGTTTGAAGGTTTATAATTACTGTCAAATTTAAGGTGATTCCCATTGACACGGCTATGCCGTTTTACATTGTATGTTAGCATTAAGCTGGTTGGCGTTTGTTAACACACTGTGGTCGAACGTGTCAGTGTTTAAATATAGAGAGTTTAATTTTCTTTACTTGTAAGTAATATTGTTCCATGTGGCTTAAAAATATCGCTTGTTTGAAGGATTATAATTACTGTCAAATTTAAGGTGATTCCCATTTACACGGCTATGCTGTTTACGTTATGTGTTAGCATTAAGCTAGTGGACGTTTGTTAACACACTGTGGTCGAAGGTGTCAGTGTTTAAATATAGAGAGTTGAATACTCTTTACTTGAATGTCATATTGTTCCATGTGTCTTAAATGTACCACTTGTTTGAAGGTTTATAATTGCTGTCAAATTTATGCTAATTTCCAGGAGCACATGTAAGCCTTTTTACATTGAATGTTAGCATTAAGGTAGTGGACATTTGTCAATTGACAGCAAACATGAACATTTTGTTTTTTAAATATAGTTTAATTCTCTTATGTGGAAATGATTTAGCTCTGTGTGGCTTAAAGTAGTATGTTTGTGCCATGATTCTGTTTTTAAGATTATGTTTGGTTTCGTTTCAGTTTTGTTTCCTCGTGTGCTTTTGTGTTATGTTTCCACCTGTTCTGGTCATACGGGTCCCTTGTGTCAACCAATCAGCTCCCTCGAACCTTCAGTGTCTTCAGGTCTTCCTTGTTGTCTCATCAGTTTGTTTCTATTTAGTTCCCCGGGTTCTGTTAGTCTTTGTTGGATTGTTGTGTTACTGTCATGGGTGTTTGCTTCTGCTGCTGTCATGTTGATTTGTTTAACTGTCAAGGGTGTTTGTTTGTTAATTTGGTTTATTTGAGTTTTTCCAGACTTTGTGTTTTGGATTTAGTTTTTTTTTTTTCCACTGCACCCCAGTAAGTGTTTTTTTTTGCTCATACATTTTGTTCAGTCCACCTTGCTTCTCCTTCCTGCCTGCTTTTTGGGTCTGCTACCATCACGTAACATGAGAGTTTGTCGGTTTATAATTAATATAACATCAATGCGAATTTTCGAGTTGGTGCAGGTGCTTGAATATTCTCTTTTGTTGGTCGTGATACTCTTCCATGTCGGTTAAAGTAGCACTTGTTTGTAGGTTTCTAGTTACAGTCATATATGCTCATTTGGATTAGCCCTTCAATGGCTTTTTGCTAAACTGACAGACAAAAACAGAAAAAAAAGCTAACGGACAAAATAACATAGGTTTTGTTGAACATCTTGGTGTTTTCATTCTCTTGTTTTATGTGTCAGTTTTGCAGCAAACTTCAACTTGCAGTGATGAATAAATAGTTTGAAGCAAGCATACTTTATCTCTTATTTAGAAAACTAATGAAGCAAGAGTGTCTTTTTTTTTTTTTTCTTGTCTGGTTACCTGTTAACTCTCGCCGGCGTGCTTGCCACCCCAGCGTGTCTGGCGTGCGTTCTGGTGAGCAGATGACTCCCACACATTTCAAAATTCCTCGTCATGGGCCTTCAGCGGCCGGGGCGGATTGGAAGTGAAAGCTATTGGTGGTTAGTCTAAAATTGCGGAGTGTAAGACATGATTTGGGAAACAAGCGGGCACTGACGACCACGCTGCACCACACCTGTTGGCGCATGTAACCATTCTGACACCTTTCTTAATTTGCAAATATCCTCAGAAACACAACACTGCAGCCTGTTTTCCGCAAACCACATTCCTGACCTGTGTGTGTGTGTGCGTGTGCGTGTGCGTGTGTGTGTGTGTGTGTGTGTGTGTGTGTGTGTGTGTTATTCTAAACAGTGCAGATTCCAGCAGCTCCATTTTAGGTGTAATAATCTAATTTTAGTGGTGGAAGCGGCACAAAGTGGATTAGCGCCCCAGTATGTATCTTTAGCCTATTGTCTTTAGGGTTTGGAGTGCAACAAAGGAAAATCAAATCAGACAGTGTTATTTCTGTAACCCAGGAAATACTAATTCGTTTTTTTGTCTTTTTTTTTTTTTTTTTTTTTTTTACATTTTCAGAAATATGTGGTGCTTTGGGTATCATATATCGACATATCTGTATATCTATCTATATAGATACATGTAGATGTATAGAAATACAATGTATGTCCTTATATACAATATATATGCATATATTTCTGATTTCTGTATAACTTCATATATATAAATATATATGGATATGCTCTTATGAAAAAAAGTGGTTCGAAAAAAGCAAACAGTTTCTCAGTTTTTGAGCGTTTTTTTTTTTTAAATTGAGTACTGTACTTGCAGTTGACTAATTATTTAGAGCACACTTTTTTACTTTTATTGTATTCATGTTATTTTAAGTAACCGTATTATAACTTCAGAACAATTTTTGGCCACTCTACCCACCTCAGTTCCTTGGCACCAACACCCCTGCAAAGCACTACTTTTGACTAAATGAAGCTCCTCCGTTGACTTAAACATTGTTCCTTCCCCATTCCATACATACAAGTTGGCAGAAGTCTTCCCATGGAGGCTTCACATGTTGCTCTTGAAAAACAGATGGGAATGAAATCACTGTGATCCCAAAGATGAGGCACGCAGTTGAACGTGTACGTGTGTGTGTGTACGTGTGTGTGTGTGCGTGTGTACGCGCGTGCGCGTTGACGCTGTCAATTAAATCCACATGCTGCCCACAAGATTTATTCATGAGTCAGTAACATACACAAACATGCATTTTATGTCAGATCCAAAAAAGCAAAACAGGCAAAAAATAATAATAATAAAATGAAGGTCTGCCAAGGCCTCACTCAATTGCATGCACGAATCCTTCCTCGGACCTCTCAAAAGGCTTCATGAAATCACGACTTTGGTGGCTTTTGCACTCGCCTACTGGCAACAGATAATAAAACATGTTCTTTCGATGAGGTCACAACAGCAGCGCTCAGTTTTTGAGCGTTTTTTTTTTTTTAATTGAGTACTGTACTTGCAGTTGACTAATTATTTAGAGCACACTTTTTTACTTTTATTGTATTCATGTTATTTTAAGTAACCGTATTATAACTTCAGAACAATTTTTGGCCACTCTACCCACCTCAGTTCCTTGGCACCAACACCCCTGCAAAGCACTACTTTTGACTAAATGAAGCTCCTCCGTTGACTTAAACATTGTTCCTTCCCCATTCCACTGGGTAAGCAACCATCTGCCACTGGAAGTGCCTGCAGTGCTTCATTTTCGAGGAAGAATACCACATGTCACCCAGTTGATATTTAAAAGCAAGCTTCCTGTCAATCCCACCCCCTCGCCCGTGTGTACGTGTGTGTGTGTGCGTGTGTACGCGCGTGCGCGTTGACGCTGTCAATTAAATCCACATGCTGCCCACACGATTTATTCATGAGTCAGTAACATACACAAACATGCATTTTATGTCAGATCCAAAAAAGCAAAACAGGCAAAAAATAATAATAATAAAATGAAGGTCTGCCAAGGCCTCACTCAATTGCATGCACGAATCCTTCCTCGGACCTCTCAAAAGGCTTCATGAAATCACGACTTTGGTGGCTTTTGCACTCGCCTACTGGCAACAGATAATAAAACATGTTCTTTCGATGAGGTCACAACAGCAGCGTAATTTATTTGCTCATTAGCTCATATAAAGACTCGTTCCGTCGCATTAATTCCTCATGACAATGCAGGGAATTCCACGAAGCGTAATATCGTGCTAAGTTCTTCCACGTATTTATTGATTTTATCGATTCTTGCTTTGGAGCGATTTTGGCAAGAACAACACAAGTCTAATGGCGTCAATTACCGCGCTGCTAATGGCGCACATTGGCCGCAATCGGTTCCGGGAAGCATAATATTTACAGAGCTGCGCCATTACAGAAGACGAAATTTATATTGATGGCTCGCGATTATTCAGTCATCAGTCTCAAGAATTAAAAAAAAAAAAATTTGTGTTGAAACAATTCGGCACAACTCGTTGATTCACCTTAAGTTTCACAAATACGCCATCGGGCCTATCTAAAATACATCATAAACAATAATTGATTTTTAAGACGTTTTTTGTGGCTGTAACTGATAAATAAAATGGTCAATATTGTCAGGTAATAAATCCACTCAATTATAGAATTGTCCTTTTCTACGCTTTAGTTGAAAAAAAAGGCAGGACTTAACCTGTTTTGTCAAATAAAAGAAAGTGAATAAAACCGATGAGAATGCCGAGGTGCGTGCAGGCTCACCATGTGCGTCCTGCGAGATGGTCCTTGTCCCACCAAAGTGTCCTCTCACATCCAGCCTCGGCTCGCGCGGTGTCTGTCTGCTGGCCGGCCGAGAAAGCAGAAGGAAGGAAGGAAGAGGAGGAGGAGGAGGAGCAGGAGGAAGGAGTGAGATTCACTGAAGGACGACCTGTTGGAAGGAGAACAACCGCAGCGGCCAAACAACTTGACGGCGAGTCCGTGCTGTCTATGAAAAGCAGTTTTATTTGGTACATTCGTTTTATTATCTTAAATTCACATGATGATACAAATACATTTTATATATTGTGTACTATTTCCACATTGGGAGACGTAAAAAATAACAACTTGTATTTTTTGGGGTGTGCTGAAGTAGTCATTTAACCATTTCAAAAAATATATATATTTTTTTTTTACAAAGTTTGTTAACGTAAAAAAGCAGGCAGGTTGTTTGCTACAAAACAATTTGCGCATTGTTCTTAAAGTTGGGGCGTAACAAGGGACGACCGTTCTACAAACTCGTCACTCTTTGTTGTGAAATGCACAGCAAATTCCACCGCGGCAGAACTGAAAATATTTCGTTGTTTGGCCCAACTTACAATTTTATCAAAGTTTGTTGCCTCGAAATTTTGAGTTGACCCAACTTATTTATTTTTTTAACACAGTGTATTACCATTGTAATGCTAATCAAAATACACCACCGTTTCTTACCTATTTTATACATTTGTATTCATAGACGAAATTCTTTGATTCACTGTGCGGTGTGTGTTTGATTGTTCGTCTTTTCATAACAAGGTTTTACAAGCGTATTAAAATCTAAAACAAAAACAATAAATAATAATAAAGAACACATTCAAACAAATGTTTTCATGTATGATATTACTGTCGGTCTTACTGTTCTGCTCACTTTTTGCTCCAATTAGCCCCTCGGTGGAATTGGAAGCTAATTGGCGGCGTGCACGAGAAGATGGTTGTCAGATGTGAAGCAAAGCTGATACAGATGGAAATGTAAGACCGAGGTCGGGAGGGAACATTTGATTGGAGCCCCCCCCCGGCGTTCCCCCTCGCCTCCACCCGCGAGAAAGCCATAAAACTGATTGATTGCTCCCCTGGAGGAATGTTTCCCCAGGTGTGCTTCTTCTTCGTCTTCTTCTTCTTCTTCTCCGCGCCAGTGCGTGTTTGTGCAGTTGCAGTGCACGTTAACGAATGCTTTGCTTGGATGCGGGAGACGTGCAATAAGGCTACACAAACAATCACGATTCGAGAGGGGTTCAGTCTAACGAGCACGAGTTGGAGCTGGACCCGGATGGGAAGGTGCTCCCTGACAGGTGCGCTCGGTTTGCCAGACTTCTGCAGAACCGCAGCGAGCATAACCAGAACAAATTGAAGAGCGTGCTCTTTGTACGTCACCGGCAAACTATTTATCATTTGACTTCTTGACTTTATTGCTGCTGTGGAATGAAATACGATGCGGTTAAAGTCTCCTTTAAAAAATGAACCAAGGTTTAATTTCGGGGAACGTTATTAAATCAAGTCAAGGAAAGCGCCTTTGATTGTTTGCTTGCGGCGCCCTCCTGTGGCCGTTTGTGTTACGACTAGTGTGGCGCTCAACAAGTGGAAAAAAATTCAACCCAACTGAAGAAACAGGTCGTTTCTTACGAAAATAAAAAGATTTTTAAAATTCTAAAAAGAATGTATTTCAGCTGTAAAAACTGTACATATTGCATTGGGTGTTTATAAACATCAGCTAAAAAGTGTTAATAGACATGAAATAGTTGAGGGAGCATGTCATAAGTGCACCAAGGGGCGGAGCCAGCACAAAATATTGCGGGTGTTTATAAACATCAGCTAAAAAGTGTTCAAAGACATGAAATAGTTGAGGGAGCATGTCATAAGTGCACCAAGGGGCGGAGCCAGCACAAAATATACGATGATGTGCCATTTCAACGTCACTCCGCTATTCTGCTGGTCACAGTTCATCAGCAAGTCTCGTCTTTGCGCTGTTCTCCTCGGCGCCTCTGCTGCTTGCGGGGTCTCCCTTCCACACCTCATTGAGACATTCTACACGAGACAAAACACACGTGAGCATTTGCACAGACCGAAGAAAAGACGGAATCATTGGTCCGAGGTGTGTCTGACCTCTCTCGGCCGCTCCGAGAACATGCCTCTCGCACAGAAAGTCCTCCAGCTTCTGGTCCTGATGGTGGAAGTACCAGACCTCCACCACTTCCTCGTACTGCTCTAACATGGTCTCGCACTTGGAGGGACACACAACAGCTCAACGGGTCATCACAAAGTTGGTAGAACATGGGGTTGAGGGTTTCTTTTTTGGGTCAAAATCACAGTAGTAAGTGAATGTCCACCATGTGCTCATTAAATGTCCGCTCTGTCATTGTTCACCCCTTTGGCATGCCAACATTAGCTCAGAATATTTATGCTAACAATAGCCAAAAATGTCCACCCTCATAGCAATGCTAACATTCAACAAAAATGTCCATCCTGTCATGTCTACCTTGTCGGCAATGCTAACATTAGCCATAAATGTCCAGATCATCATTGTCCACCATCTCAGTCATGCTAACATTAGTTACAAGTGTCCAATCTGTTACTGTCCTTCGTCCTAATATCAGCAAAAAAAAGTCCACCAATGTTCACCTTGGCAACAATGCTAAAATCAGCCACACATATCCAACTCATAATTGTCCACCTTCTCAGTCATGGTAACACAAGCTAAAAATGTCCATCCTGTTACGGTCCACAATATGAGCAAAAAAATGTCCATTCTGTCATGTCTACCCTATCTGCAATGTTAACATGACCCAAATTTATCCATGTTGTCATTGGCCATCTTGTCAGCAATGTTAATGTTAGCTCAAAACATTTACCTCGTCCACTCTTTCGCTAAACTTGCATATTTTGCTGTGTGTGTACATATTGTCTGCCTGCAGTTAATAATAATTAAAAAAAAACATTGGTAGCTTGACACTGACATGATGCAATTACACTGTCACACATATGCTGTTCTATTCATTTGATTTTCTAATAAATTGCCAAAAGACACTTTACGGGCACCTTGCATTGATTTTTCTACCTGTTTCTTCATGTCTGTCACCTATCCATTCTGTCATGTCTACCCTATCTGCAAAGTTCACATTACCCAAATTTGTCCGCGTTGTCATTGGCCATCTTGTCAGCAATGCTAATAATGTTAGCTCAAAACATTGACCCCATCCTCGTCCACTCTTTCGCTAAACTTGCATATTGCATTGTCAAAAGACACTTTACGGGCACCTTGCATTGATTTTTCTACCTGTTTCTTCATGTCTGTCACCTCGACGGAGGGCTCGTCCCACAATTCGTACGGCAGGCCCAAATCCACTTTGACACCTTTGTGGACCAGGTTCTTCAGCGTGGTCATGGTCTGGCTGGAACCCTGCAGCACACGTGGAGGGCGTCATGGGGATATGCGCACACAAATGAACAGGAAAACATCGGAACTGAGGTTCTGAGGAAGCGACAGCTTGGTGACCTTCGAGTAACGCAGGCTGCCTGGCCGTTCCGCGTGAACGCTATACTGCAGGATGCGCTCGCATATGTTGTCCATGGCCTCCATCAGACGGGTCTCCCTGGATAAAGCCATGAAGGAAAACACATTTAAAAGTGATTTCTCATGTTCTTAGCATGTGTGGAAATGTTTCCACTCATAATAAGACCTCAGAGTTTCATTATTCTGCTCCCATTTCACGATGGTTGTGATTCTGATGAGGGCACCCGAGGCATTTCACAGTAATACTGATCTGCTTTCATCATGCTGTCCACATTTTGAAGTGCAAGATTGGACGTACGAAGTGTTGTACTTGATAGTTTTTCTTCTCCTGCCGGTGTCCAGCACTTCTCCCACCTCCAGCACTTCTTTGGAGAGGCCGCTTCTCCGCAGGGCTTCCTGAAGCTCCACGGTGAGAAACTTGCACACTGGAGCACGCGAGCAAACTTGTTATAACAACTAATTGGCGACTAGTGCGGATTTTACAGAGGATTTTTTTTTAAATGGTATAATACCGCCACTTAGCGGTAGCTGTCGAAGGATTCCGCATCTTCTCACCTTCACATTTATTCGGTAGTCTCGCGTCGTCGTCTGCTCGTACAAACGCGTAGAAATAAAGCAAAGAAAACGCTGCAATCGTGATAAGTTTCATCGCAGTGGTTGGCGAAACCACAGCATCCACTCTGATGAACTACTCATCCCAATCGGCTGCCCCTGGGGTTGAACTGCGCACGCGCAGAGAAACGAGCCGACTACTTCTTTCGGTTAACGGCGGTTTGCAAACTGTAATAGCGCGCGTGACTGCCATCTATTGTTCACAACGATTACTGCGTGACTTACAATCGAAACTTACAGTATTTTCATAAAACACAATTAAAAAAGCTTAGATTTGCAAATTTTTAGTAGCAATTTTACCCCCCCAAAAATCAAATCACAATTAAAATATTACGTGGCAGTTTTCATCACAATACATATTTTCCTTCCATATAGCACACTTATACAACTTGCTAGGTAAGGCTGATCATGTTTTCCTTTGTCACTGATATTGCATATCATTTCATTTTTCATTAGTTCTTGAACTACTAATGATGCAATTAAAAAAGCTCAAATTTGCAAATTTTTCGATGCAATTCTACCCCAAAAAAATCAAATCACAATGAAAATATTACGTGGCAGTTTTCATCACAATACATATTTTTCCTTCCATATAGCACACTTATACAACTTGCTAGGTAAGGCTGATCATGTTTTCCTTTGTCACTGATATTGCATATCATTTCATTTTTCATTAGTTCTTGAACTACTAATGATACTTTGGTTTAATTTGCTGAACTTTCTCGAACCTTGCTATACGAAACCCAAATCTTTTGAAAACATTGTCTTGTTAGTTTCAAAAAGGGATTTTATAATTGCTCCACTTAAATGTGCACGTATTATTGTTTGTAGTCAAAAGATATTTATTTTTATAATAATGTCAAATAATTATTTAATATTTGACCTCGTATTGTTATTGTTTGTTATTGTTTTTATTTTGAGTTGTTATGTCAAATGTTCTACAAATCGCTTTGTTACAGCTGCAGCTGTTGTGAAAAAAAGATATTTGCATTGTATTGTAGTATATATGTAACGGAGTGATATATTTAGTTAAATTATGGCGGAGGTGACCGTCACAGTTGTAAACCCCGTCACATATAGACAAATAAGTATTCATCCTAACATTCGCACTTATATCCGTTTTTGTTTTTTTTTTAACTAAACCCATTTCATCATACCGACTTTTAGTGCAGGTTTTTGGTGTGCAGTTTTACACAGTGCTAATCGGTTTTATATTTGGCAGTGTAAGCAGTCAAGAGTGACACACCTTCTCTTTCTCATGTGTCAGTGGACAACAACACACACACACACACACACACACACACACACACACACACACACACACAAACACACTCTGTATGGAAATTGATATCCAGGGAGTCGTGTGGGACACGCCAAGCCAAGGCGGGGCAAAAACATAAGACGGAAGAAGATATTCTCTGCAATATGCACCACAACTTTTGTGTGAGCTGAAAACGGTCTGACTGTGAGTGGGGAGACAGGACGGAATATGTCTTAAATTAGAACAGCAGAAGCAGCAGTTAGTGATACACGCACACAAACACCCACAGTGTCTCCTGGAAAAGTCATTGTGCAGCCTATTTGTCCACACACGGGTGAGTGAGGTTAACGTGCTCATTTTGAGTGTCTGAAACTCAAGTGTTTCTTTTGTAATTGTAGCTTGTTACTGTTGTGATCAATGGCGTGTTGTGTCACTTTGTGTGGTGACTGTCTATTGTGTGTGTGTGTGTGTGTGTGTGTGTGTGTGTGTGTGTGTGTGTGTGTGTGTGTGTGTGTGTGTGTGTGTGTGTGTGTGTGTGTGTGTGGAGAGGGGGATAGAGTGCAGATGGATAGAGTTACACTGCAGTCATCAACACCCAGAGCCTGCTTGCAATACAGATAAAGACGGTCACACTGTCTCTCACACCTTCAACCCGGTAGCGACGTGCATAACGCAAGCACATTTGTCATCCAGGTGCGAAGCGATACATTTGCATGTGGCACACGTGGAGATGAATCCTGGAAGCATCGCATGGAAAAGGACCCGGCTTTGTAAGAGCTGACTGCAGGACGACGGGAGAGGTGGCGGATGAATTAGGCCACCCGAGAAAGTGGCATTGGCCCCCGAAGGTAAACGTTTGCTTATTTGGATCCGATACAGTGGTGCCTCGAGGTACCGGTGCCCAGACTTAGGATGTTTTCAAGTTCTTTAATACCACCCCAACTTGAAGTTTACTGTCAAACTAAACATTAAAAAAAAAGAGAAATACATGTGGTGTATTTAAAACAAGCAAACAACCCTGCCTTTCAGCCTAATGATAACATATAATGGAAAATACCGTTGAAATGCTAATGCTAATAGTTAGCGCAGAAAATCGTGGTTTTAGAAGCAATGGATATTTGAACACAAACAGTGGGGCAACACAGGTAGACAGATAATATTAAAGCATCTTGCTGAGTTACTCACAATGGAAGTAGAACAAGAAGTAGCACACCTAACATTTGCCTTTGTTGATTTAAACGGCAAAGAAGAACGACTTTTAAGTTTTCCCCATTCACGACGAGTATGACAGAGCGAGTAAGTGACTTCCGAGGTCAGAGCTTCCACAAGCTCCGGCGGGCGTGCCTCCGACGCGGCGCCCTCTTCAAGGATCCCGAGTTCCCCACCACCGCCCAAGCGCTCTTCTACAAGAGGGCGCCGCCGCCAGGGGTGACCTGGAAGAGGCCGCGGGTGAGGACCGGCCCCATCGGGAGCTCCGCCGGATTAGGCCAGGTTCACTGGACGCTGCGTATTTCCGCCTCAGGAGATCTGCAAGGACCCGCGTCTGTTTGTTGATGGCATCAGCACACGTGATCTACACCAAGGCAGTCTGGGAAACTGCTGGATGGTGGCTGCCATTTCCTGTCTGGCGTCCGAGCCTACGTTGTGGAAAAAGGTAGGTCCTTCCCTCCCGCCTGTATCAATATCTATCCGTCCATCTAGATGTGAATGTATGTACAGTATAATTGCAGTTGAACAGTTTTGCTCTCACCAACCAATTTTGGTGAGAGGTAAATTTGAAATGAAAGCGAATTAAAAAAAAAACTGTCCCTAATCTGTCTTGCTCACCCTAACCTGGAGCACAGCCAAGCGAACTGCTCCAAAATGAAGTGAACATCATTGGGAATAATTGATTACAATTTCACAGGCCATGGATTCGAATTTAGCTTTTAAACGTCAACGCTCTTGCTAGTGGTTCGGCCTTGCCTTCAATGTGACCTCTCTCCAAGGTCATCCCCGACCATGCGGACCAGGAATGGAACCCCAAGCGTCCAGATTTGTACACGGGGATCTTCCATTTTCGCTTCTGGCGCTTTGGCCGCTGGATGGATGTGGTTGTGGACGACCGGCTGCCCGTGAGCAGCGGCAGCGTTCTGCTTTTCTGCCGCTCGGCCACGCCCAGAGAATTTTGGAGTGCCCTGCTGGAGAAGGCCTACGCCAAGTTCGTCACTCCAGACCTTCCACCTCCATCCGCTGACAAGGAGTGACGCGAATCTGTCCTGCTGTCTCACCGCCGGTTGTCTTCGCAGGCTAAACGGCTGCTACGAGGCCCTGGAGGGGGGCAACACCGCCGAGGCTCTGATCGACTTTACCGGGGGTGTTTCGGAGCCTCTCAGCTTGAACCGTGAGACCCTCAGCCTGCACGGCGACCAGCGGAAGGCTCTCTTCCAGACGCTGGCCAAGGCCAACGAACACAAAGCCCTCATCACATGTTCTATTCGGGTAATTGACAAACACGCGCTGCTGTTAAGCGCCGCCTGCGAAGCTCACCGTGATTACGAGACAGAAATGCATGCAGTCGGCTTCACACCACCTTGTGCCTCAGCAGACAGACTTGAAATCTTTATTTCTTTGTATTCAAATTCAATCAGCCATTGGGATGCAAAACTTTTCCGTTCCATACCTTTGCGCGGGGATTCCTAGGTCTGTGCGTGCCATCGCTTGGCCGGAGTCAAAATTTGCAAAAAAAACGAATCTGTTGTAGAATTATGAAGAAGTATACAGCAAATGTGATTTTTTTTTTTTTCTCATTTCAAAAATTCAGGTCTCAGGTGTTGATGTTGTGTGTGCGTGTGCCCAAAAAGTTTTCCATAATTCCAAAGCATATTCAATTTTTTAAAAAATTGTTCTCTTTTGAATAATCGAAATGTTCAGCTCATTCAGTTCACCTTGGAGAATGATTTTCAGCGTTCCAGAAATTCCCACATTCCCAAAAATTTTCACCAGTGTCATTACACATCCGTCCATCTCATTCCATGTTATTCCTTCTCATTCCATCATTTTCAATCCTATTCCCCATCATTCTACATTTTCACCGACATATTGCACATTTTTCGCAAATACCAACCCATTTTATTCAGGATCATTTCATATCATATGATGTCATTCCCAAATAAAATGTATATTTTTTTGGGTGCCGTTGCCAGCCATCCGAAGGCGAGACGGCGGAGTCGGTGCTGGACTGCGGACTGGTGCGCGGACATGCCTACGGAGTGACTGCCGTGAGGAAGGTGTGGCAGGGAAGCGGAATGTCTCGACTGTTCTTGGTGCGCATGCGGAACCCGTGGGGCACCACTGACTGGACGGGTGCTTGGAGTCAGCGGTAAGCGGCAGACTAAAAGCTCTGCTGACCTTAAAGGGACAATTTTGTATTAACAATATTTAATTTTTTTTTTTGCATGCTTTTAAAATAGCGTGGGTGTGATTTTTCTTTTCCCCCTTGCAGATCACAGCAGTGGCAACAGATGAGCCGTACAGAGAGGGAGAAGATGGGACTTGTAGTTCGGGACGTTGGAGAGTTCTGGTTGGTATTTTTGTTGTTTGTCTTCCCGTACAGACAAACCGAATTTAAGGGATGATTTAAATAGAGGGCGGCCCGGTGATCCAGTGGTTAGCGCGTCGACCTCACAGTGCTGAGGTCGTGGGTTCGATCCCGGCTTCGGCCTTCCTGTGTGGAGTTTACATGTTCTCCCCAGGCCTACGTGGGTTTTCTCCGGGTACTCCAGTTTCCTTCCACATTCCAAAAACATGCATGGCACTCCAAATTGTCCCGAGGTGTGAGTGTGGATGCCCTGCGATTGGCTGACAACCGGTTCAGGGTGTCCCCCGTCGACTGCCCGAAGACAGCTGGGATAGGCTCCAGCACCCCCGCGACCCTTGTGAGGATAAAGTGGATCAGAAAACGGATGGATGGATGGATGGATGGATGGATTTAAATATAGTGCAGGTTTTACAGATATTTTGAAGGGGGGTTACAGTAATGACTTTAATGCCCTCACATGTGGGAAAGGAGAGCCAATACAATTCAATAGAATTCTGCATTACTGTACTTGTGGTAGCAATACTTTACTCACTAGAAAAGAAATCTGCAGTCATATGTTGTTTGTTTTTGTGTACGTGAACCCTGTCCTTCCTCCAGGATGGACTTTGAGGACTTTTGTCGCTACTTCACGGATGTGGTGGTGTGCCGTCTGGTGGAGAGGGCTCTCCTGTGGCCCAGCTCCCACTGGAGAGAGGTGTGCTGCTACGGGGAGTGGGCTCCGGCACCAGCCCGCCTCAGCGCACCTCCGCCGGCCGTCTGCGTGCTGAGCCGCAGGAAGGAAGATCCGGTCGAGGGAGGAAGGTGTGGGGTAAACGGAGACCATGAGGACGACGTGAACGGAGGCTTGGAGGTCCAGATGGACAAGAGGAGCCGATGCGGAGGATGTATCAATCACAAGGACACGTTCTTGCACAATCCACAAGTAAAGCAACACTGAATCTTTCATGCGTGAACGAGTTGGAACGCAATACTGCTGCTTCCCGCTTCTTTCTGCAGTTCATGTTTGAGGTCCGAGGCCAGGAGGAGGAGGTGCTCATGTGTCTGCAGCAGGAGGACCAGAGGATACGGAGGAAGGATGGCGGCGGGGACAACCTGCCCATCGGTTTCGAGGTACTTAAGGTGAGCTCGCTGTCATCCTTTTTGCGAAGCCGTTTGAGTATTTATTTCATGTCGCCTCATCTCAAGGCCAAACTCCTCATTTGCTTATTTATTTATTTATTTACAAATGAATGAAATATAGCATGTTGACACTGTTCAACAACACAAAAAAAAATCATCAAATAACATTGAAAAAAAATAACTTGGGTTACAGTTTGAGCCGCAATTTTAACATTGCAGTCATAGGTCGAAATATCAGTGGATGTACCAATTTTACTTTTGGCTTTCGCATGGCCCGCAGAAGGTTTGCATGATACAACTTGCATGTGACTTGTGGAATATTCCCAATGTTTTTTTTTTCCAAGTGGGTAACTTAGGAACAAGACTAAAGTGCATTTCAACTGAGATGTTATTTGTTCAAATAAACGTAACCCTTTCATGCACCCTGAAAGTTATAGTTGGCATAAGGAGGAACACAATGATTTTAATTGATTATTTCATTTCATTTCAAGTCAAATTTTAGGAAACAGTGACAGCCCATATCTTCCCAGTGCACCGAATTATGATACAAACGAAGACAAAGAGCGCACCATAGAAAGCAATAATATCGAATAAATGCTCAAATACATTTCCATAGGAGCGCCTCATTTGACATTTTGACCGTCCCTAACCTCCCCTGCCCGGCTCCACCTTCAGGTGGAGGAGAACCGCTGCAGCCGGGTGCAGCGTGTGGCGGAGCAAGCGGCCAGCTCCATCTACATGGATTCTCGCAGCATCACGCTGAAGGTCACTCTGGGGCCGGGCTGCTACGTGGTGCTGCCCACCACCTACTTGCCGGGAGCCTGCGGCCGCTTCCTCGTGCGCCTCTTCTCGCATTCGCATGTCCAACTCAGGTGCAAGCATTTTGCGCACTTTTTGATTTTAACATGCAGTAGAGGAGGGAGGAAGGGCACATATGTTTTGTGGTGGTTTAGAGCTTTTAGTTTCTCGCAAGTCCCATGTTGCTGTGGGGAAAAAGTAACTCAACTTGACTCAAGTCAAGTCATGTGACTCCTTCACCTCTGCCATTTCTACGAATGACTTTTTGCCTTCTAGGGAACTGAAGGACGACTTGCCGTCTCCCTCCTTATTCCAGTGCTTTTTACCTCAGCCCACCGTGGTGACCACAGTCCATCTACGGAATGCGACAGGACTCTGCCGTCCTGAACAGACGGGTGGCTCCTCTTTCTTTTCTAATTCGACCTATACAGTGGTGCCTTGAGATACGAGTGACTCGAAACAGCATAGACACACATATGTGATACGAACGGTGGAGCAACACGTAGATGGATAATACTCACAATCATGGATTCTTTATCCTCTGTGAAGAATGACTTATGTTACTGCTTAAGAGTTGGAAGGTCTCCTTTCTTCAGGTATAGCCTTGCGTATGACACATTACATTTTTTTTTCCGGAAAGCTCGAACAATAATAAATGAAATTTCCGTTCATTTCAACGTGGGAAAGACAATGTTAGTGTTTTGGTCTTAGACGAAATTAAACTTGTATCCAAAGGTACCACTGGACATGTTTGTGATGTTTGGCTCCTAAAATGCACTATAACCTTGACGTCAAGTTCACTTGTAAAGCTTACAGCGCATTTTAGGTTTAGGTTTCCGAGTGATGTGCCTTTGTTGACAATGTGGTGTTATGACGGACAGCTCCAGATGTTTATGCCATCATCCGTTGCGAGGGCGCCGCCGTTAGGTCTCAGCTGTTTAAAGCTGAAGGAAATCCACAATTCCAGCTGAGAGCCATCTTTTACAGGAGATACCCCGATGCACACATCTCAGTCGAGGTTTGCCATCTTCCAGTGAGGTCATACATTTGACACACGGGCGTTTGTTTGATTCCCCGTGTGTTGTGTGCAGCTATGGAGCAGCGGCCTGCTGTGGGACTCCATTTTGGGCCACGCCCGACTCCACACGATGCCCACCGACCAGAGTCGAGACCATTCGTTGGCGCTACGGGGCGACCGCCTGGGTTCGGCAGGCCACGTCTGTGTTGAGACATCTTCGAGTGTCCACCTGACAGACCTGTAGCGGCCACGCAGCTTCGTCCGGTTGCCATGGTAACAAAAACTGCGCCCGTCACCTGGAGCATTATTCCAAAATGGGAACCGCCAAATGCCAAATGCATGATATTGCTGTACTTTGTTTGTAATGCAAAGAAGTTTTGTTTTCTTTCCATGTGTCATTTCTCAATATAAAAAGATCTCCAAATAAATAAATAAAACCAAATGACCTCATCAAGCACGTTTCTGTGTTCTTATCCATTATTTTGACAGAATAGATGGATTGTTGCAGTGCTTCCGTGTCTTTTTGTGTTGATTCCCCCAATCAGCGACTCCATCTAAGAATTTTTGCCATGGGAAACACTAGCAAGAGAGTGACAATGCACATTTAACACTGCAGCTCCCCATTTAGAACTGGGACAAAAGAAAGGTAAAATAACTAATAGGTCCCAATTTGGACATTTTCATTTTTGTTGCCAGCGGTGTCATTTTTTTTCAACGTTGTCCCATGAAAAGGTACAGACACCCCCACTTACTCATTTGTTCTTCTCTATTGACATTTACATACTGTCCTTTGCTTTACTTTTAGCAAAATTTTAAGCAAGAGGTGCTGTTCTAATGCACCAACACACTTAGGCAGTAACTCACTGCGTAACACACTACATTTCAGTATTTGAATTCCGAGCGGATTTTTTGGTCAAACCTATTTCCCAAATGTGCTTTGTTCGTGATCAATATTCATAATTATATTTCATTACCATAAACTAGGTGACAATATATTTGAAAATGTCGTGTCGAATATAATGGCAGCGTGTGCGTTGCAGTTACATTTAGACGACCAAAGAGAGATATAAAGTTTTTTTTGCTATTTTACTTTTTAATTTTTAGTTTTGTATTTTGCTGGTTGGGGGAAAGTATAAAACTTAAACCATAATAATAATAATAATTCTATCGAGAGAAATTAATTCTTCGAACACCTGACAGCGGGCGAACCGCCCTCGCTGACGTCATTAGTTGACACTCAGCCAGAATATGCGGTGGCGATTGGAGAAGGCGGGCAACCCCGGAGTTGCTCGCCAACCCTGCAGGAGGTCGAAAGTGCCGGCTCGGGTAGGAAAAACCTTGCGCGTACGCGCTGGACGTAAAAACGGCGATTGTTTTATTTTTGGGGGACAAACTGGAACACTGTTGGTGCTTAAGTTGGGTGTGGTATACTGAAACTTTCTATTGTCGGGCGAGGCTGTGTTGTTTTGAGCCGTGTTCAGGGAGAGTAAAGAGAGCAAAACCTGTTTTGTATTGCTCGTTTGACTCCAATGCAGATTTCCCTGATGTGCTGTTGAAAACAAACGATTCGCTTATTTTAATGGCTTTCTTAAATATAGCTCAAAAAAAGATTGTTGTTGCTGCAGCTACATGTTCGGGTGTTAATGTAGTGTGGGTGGAAATAACGCACCCTCAATCTACAAGTGGGCTACGGTTACCCGGGTGAACGCTCCAGTACCCAAACAGGATGGGACCTTACCTGAGCTGGGAATGTGGTCCGACTGCTTCCACGGTTCATAATCTGGAACCGCGTCTGTCTCTGACTTGTATTAAAGTTACAACAGGCAGCTGTGATAATGTCTTAAACGTGTTAAAACAGCAGCAACAACTGACTAAATTGTGCGCATGTTTCAGGAAGAAGTAAACAAAACATAAAGATGGGATGGTTGCTGGAGCTGCGGTTTGTGTTGAGTCACCCAGCCCACATCAACTGTTGCATCATCCTATAAACGTCGTGATGAACCGCGTATTTAGTCCCTCGGCCCTCAGTCAGGACCTATTAAATGTCGGACTTGGCCACAACAACTTTTACTGCCGCCAACCAGTCAGAGGATGGAAGAAGGTTGACATCGTGTGCTCGCTAGTTGGGCCTCTGAGGTTTGAAATCTGGTTGGTCACAAATCACATTGACTCAACGTGTCAGTTCAGCGCCTCTTCTAGCCCACGTAAAGGATGAAATCTTAGTGGATTAAAACAAAAAAAAATCCAACATCCATGTACTGTATGCCAAGAGAAATGCGGTGAAATCAAGAGAATAGACTGGTGAGGCTCAGTTGCAGTATTTTAATTTACAATCCTTCATTCTCATCTGCAGCTTCGATCGCCATCATGGCCGACAGTGTCCCCATGCGGATCATCCGCAATGCTCCCCGACCGTCAACACCCGTGCTAGGTAAGACCACTTAAGTCCTGCCCGCTCGAGTGAACTCACAACGCTGAAGTTCTCCTTTATGACCCCCGCAGTGGCCATCAAGGTTCTCGTGTGCATCATCCCACTCGCTCAGATCATAATGGGTGAGTGACACTGCAACCCCCCCTCAAGTAGCCTTCAAGGCTTCAGTTCTTCTCCCGAGTTGTTCAAGTCAATAAGTATAACCCTGGTGACATCAGGCGCGGTGCATCTGGAAGACTGCCCCCGCCAGCACTACATTCCCATTTACCTGATCGTGGTGGGCGTCTTCGCCATCATGCTGGTGGCGTGTATTTGCCTGCCCTGCGCCCGGGAGCCCAAAGACGGCCCCCCGAACCCGCTCTGCCGAATCAGCCTTGGTTGGAACGCTCTGTTGGCGGTGTTCCTCGTCGCCTGGTTCATCGCCGGTGAGTGGCACAATTTTTTGAGCACTTTTAAGGCAAAAGCGCGCACGAGTTGACAACTGCTTGCTCTTACTAGTGATACTTTGCAATTAGGGACCTATGCTCATGTATAAGACCAAAACATTTACTCGACTCAACTCAACGGTATTTCTCGAGCACTTTAAAACAACCACCGCTGTATACAAGAGGTGAGGCAGGTGCGTAAGGGCGGAGGAGATCTAAAGTGGGGTGAGGCCAATTAAACACATAATAGAATCTCTAAAATGTATAGGGAGCCAGTGAAGGGGTGCCAGAAAAGGAGTTATGTGCTCCCTCTTACGAGTATCTTTTAAGAGGTGAGCAGCAGTATTTTGGACCAACTGGAGATGCTTCATGGAGCATTGGTTGACTCCAAAATCAAGTGCATTTCAGTAATCCAGCCAAGATGTGACAAAGGCATGAATTTCTGTTTCAAATTGCTCTTGAGTAAGGAGAGGTTTTTACTTTAGCCATCTGCCTAAGATGAAAGAAGCTGGATTTCACAACTGCACCAATTTGCCAGTCCAATTTAAAATCACTGTCCAGTTCAAGACCCAAGTTCGAGTCTGTTGGCTTCAGATAAGGCGCCAGCGGGCCCCAAGTCCGCAGGATGGGATGTACAAAGGCCACTGAGACCAAAAACCGTCACTTCTGTTTTCTTTTCATTGAAATTCAAGAAACTCAGTGCCATCCAGGTCTTGATTTCCTCGAGCAATGCAGATTAATTTATTGCTTGTGTTTGTTAAAAAAAAAAAAAGTCAGAAGAGGACCTTTGAAAAATAAATCGCATCATAATATGGAGTTTGTTTTTTTTTAAATTATTTTTCAAAATCATCGGCTTCCCATATTCTTTCCTGTAGGTAACGTGTGGATCTACTCCATATACAAGCCCAACTACTACAAGAACGTCACCAGCGCTGAGCCCTACTGCGACAAAACACTCTACCTGTTTGCCTTCTGGACGACGACGCTGATTTACATCCTGGTGGGTCTGTTCGTGGTCGTCGGCTTCCTAGTCCTGGTGGGCCTTTACATGTGCGGACAGGCGGACCCCGACGACTACATCTAGAACTCTCAAATGACCCGGCCGCGGAGGGGGAGCCTGCCGCCGAGGCTGCTGGGTAATGGGCTGAGCCTTGACGACATCACGACATTGCTTGTCGTAAGAACCGATGATAGTTCTGATTATACCGATCACCGTTTTCAATGTTTATGATATATTTTCTAAAGACGTGACACTTTTGTGGCAGTGTAAAATAGTCAGAATCGAACCCGGTACCTTTGCACTGTGAGGTCGACGTGCTAACCACTGGACTGACAACTCTTCTTTGTGGGTGTGTCAAATTTTGCTGGTGCATTCATTTGCGACAAAAGTGAGTACACCCCCCAAGGAAAAATGTCCAAATTGGGCCCATTTAGCCGTTTTGTCATGTGAATACTACAATGTGAAATTAGCAAAGTGTCATTTCTTCTTGTGTTGTCCAATGAAAAGATATTGTGGAATATTCACTTCTCCACCCCCCAAAAAAATGTCTGTCCAAATTGAACAAACCTGTTACGTTGTTGATTGTCCACATGTGAAATCAGGAAGTCTTGTACAGCTTTGAATAACGACAACTATGCTGATCTCCAAGTATGATGTCAGAGCTCAAGTCAACATTCTCTTAAATAAAAGTTCCGTATGGAAACTCACTGTGCAAACAAAATCTGGAATCTGGTCTGGAATTTAAGACTGCTCCGGCGTGCGTTTCGTCACCGAGGAAGTTGTTCAAATCAAAACTCAGAACAGTCACTTGCCACTTGGACCAGAACAACAGCAACACATACTTTATTTTTTTTTTTAAAACATAATTTACATTCAAATTGAACAATATACTCATGATGTATGCTTGAGTCTAATGTAAAAGCAATGAGAGCCTTTGTGGGGTATGACATTATATTCATGTTTGCGGTGTGTTTCCACTCCCCCCTTTGTTTGGTTGATTACGCTGTGCCGTCAGCATCCCTTAGCCGCCAGGTTGGCGAGGGCCTTGGCGTGGACCGGCCTGTACAGGAGGGCGAAGCTGGACGGGGTCAGGAGGCCTTTGCCCTGGGCGTCCACTTTGCCCATGAGCACGTAGTTTTGGCCTGTAGAGAAACGGGAGACAGCAATGATTGCTTCAACCAAAAGTTGTGCGGACCTTGGCAATGAATGAGTTAAAACTGCTGGAATTGAGGTTGTGGCTTGAGCAGGGAGCGAAGATCGAATACTGGACATGGCTAACAGAGAATAAAGTCCTGCTTATCCGGGTAGCCTCTGTCAACAGCGGGAAGAAGAGCGAACGAGATCAAATTCACGACACGGATTATCGTCATACCTTTGGTCAGTCCCGGGGATCTCTTGCACGTGGTGTTCAGTTTGACGGTTGCGGACTGTCCCACTTTGCTGATCTTCAGTTTTCCTGGCTTATAGGCTTTAATGAGAGCCACTTCCAGTGTGGCAGAACCTCTCGGACCAGGGATCACATCTGTCACCTTCCCCGCAACCACTACAAGGAGGCAAACGGCATGTTAGATCTTTGAAGA